TGATGGTCTTTTCTTAGTCTTCATCCTTCCCAACCTATCTGCTTCATTTGATATTGCTGACTACCCTTCTTTCCTAGAAATTGTGAAGTGATCCAGCCACTATACAAAGCAAATTACAACAATAACAACATTGTAAAGAAAAAACTTAGAAATACTTAAGAACTCTGATTAATGCAATGACAAATCATGATTTCAGAGGGCCAATGATGTAGCATGGTACTCACCAGCTAGTAGAGAGGTGATGGACTCAAGTTGCAGAATAAGACATATTGTCAGAGACAATGGGGGAATCTGATTTGACTATGCATTTGTCAAAAAGAAAAAGAAAAGGAATTTCTTTAAAATACATAGAACAGAACAGAAGAACAGAAAGGATCACAGACAAGCAGGATAATTTTGAAAGTAATATGTTAGTTTTGTTATATAACTAAAGAGATAAGCAAGTTGAATATAACAAAGATTTTCACTTTCAGGTACAATCCTCTTTTTCTATTCTACTGTGTATATGGAAGTGCTCCTTCTATTTGGTGTTTGTTAGGTTCAGAAAAAAAAACCTGTAAAAAACAAAATCAATGTAACTAACAGTAGGAAAACATGTAACTAGGGGAAAAAAATCTTTACACAAAATTTCATCCGTAAGGGTTTAATTCCCAAGATGTGTAAGGAACCTGTTCAGATCTATAAGAGCCATTCCACAATTAGTATGTGGTAAAAAAGATATGAAAAGACACTTTTCTAAGACATTCAGGTTATTAATAGCTATGTGAAACCTCATCATATATTCCGTGATCCAATGACACTGGCCTCCTTACTGTTCCTTGCAAAAGACGCTCAATCCCCCATCTCCCATATCTGGGTATTTTCACTAGCTGTCCCCCATAGATGGAATGCTCACTGTCCAGGAAGCTTCCTGGCTTCCCTGGCTTCTTCAAGTCCCACCTTCTACAGGAAGCCTTTCACCATCCCACTGAATTCTAGTGCCTTTCCTCTATTTCCAACTTATCCTATATAGCTCATCTATACATTTTCATTAACATGCTGTTTCTACCATTAGATTATGAGCTCCAAGGGCAACTGTCTTTGACTTTTCTTTGCATCCTCAGTGCTTAGTACAATGCCTGACATACAGTATATGCTTGATAAATGTTTGTTGACTGACAGCACTCATATTCTTAGAAAGCTATCTTAAGCCAGTTTAAGTCAACAATCTTAATTATGCACCTACTTTGTGCCAGGTACTATGCCAATGAAGATACAAAAAAAGGGGAAAATAGTCTTTGCTCTTGGGGAGCTCACAGTCAAATGGGAAAACAATATGCAAGCAACCATGTACAAACAAGCTATACACAGGATAAGGTGGAGATGGTCTTAAAGGACAAGCATCAGAATTAAGGAGGATTGGAAAGGTTTGTTAAATAAGGTGGGATTTTTAGCTGGGACCTAAAGAAAGCCAGGGGAACCAGGAGATGGAGATAAGGAGGGAGAGAATTCTAGGCTTGGTGCAGTTACTGAAAACGTAGCAGGAGATGAAGTATCTTGGTTAAGGAGCATCAAGTAGGTTGGTGTCACTTTATCAAAGAGTTATGTGCTTACCCCAAAAGATTTTGGGTCCCATCTGTTTAAGGGGGGAATGATGGGGTGCTTGGGTGCCTGTACTCAGACCTCAATTCCAAGACCATATTTCTCTCTAGCCTCAAAATACCATCCCTGACTGTTTTCTCCCCAGCCCAAAGACCCTATTTCTGGCAATAACTCATGAGTGGGCCCAGTGAGGTAAACTATCTCACTACCTCTGAACAAGTTGACCTCTATAGAATTGCCCTTGTATGATCGAGGCTATCTTGCATCCACAAAACTATCATGTACTGATTCCCACAGTTATCATATATGAACCAGAGGTCAAGTTATAGACATCAACTCCCGAAGCTATCTTGCTACAGACATAACGAACCAAAATTACATCCTTAGGAACACACTCTGAACGCCACCCCACCCTGGTTTCCAGTAGTAAATAATTCCTGCGACTAAGGTTGTATGTTATCACTTAATTAGCATACTTGGCACACAATCCACTACTTTTCCTATATAGTTTTAGCATCATTCCTGCTAGGTTGCAAGTTCCCTAATGAACTCTGCCATTTTCCTATCCAATCAACTTAGCTCCATAGTATCTGTTGGTTACAAGTGAGAACTACATCTGGTATTTTTTTTTTAACTTTAATTTCACTTTCTTTGATTTGGAGGTTTAGATAATATTCTAATTCTATAGTTTGCTTCTTTTAGTGAATTTCCTGCATTATTGCTGCATACATTTAATATAGCTATACAAAATTTCAATTTTTTTCCTGAATTTCTTAATGTTTTATGTTAATTAAGTTTCTTCTTTTATAACTTCATAGTATTAATTTATCCCAACATTGACTCATTTTGAGGAAGATCTTTACCTTTGTTTGAATTTTGTACCTTCATAATTTTTTGTTTCAACATCAACAAGCAATTTCCTTTTTAAGTACACTTTTGTCTTATTTTCTTTTCTTTCTACTTTCACAGATATTTGGATCTTGACTTATGTTTTCTTAATTTAATTGATTTCTTTGTATTTTCTGTTTTCAACCTTGTATAACTGTTAGCACAATCCTGAATCTGTGCTATTATACTGCATATGAACATTAATATTTGACAGTGCCACAGAAGATGCTCTTACATAACTGCTTGTTGATATGCAAGTGGAATTACATTGTTATTATTGATATTGATATTGAATATCTTGCTGGTAATTTGATGATAAATGATATATATTAACTGTTATTGCTACTAACTTGTATCAATGGAGTTTGACTGAATTGTTTACTTAGCGAACTGCTCTTTAGTGGTCACTAAAACATTGGCATTGTAGATTAATATTGTGAAGATACAAGTATTGGTGACCTGAAGTCTGGAAGACTCATCTTCCTGAGTTCAAATCTGACCTCAGACACTTGATAGATGTGGTACCCTGGCCAAGTCACTTAACCATGTTTGCCTCAGTTTCCTCATCTATAAAACAAGCTGGAGAAGCAAATGACAAGCCACTCCAGTATCTCTGCCAAGAAAAGCCCAATGGGGTCATGAAGAGTTGGACACAACTAAACAACAATCTAGTACTCTGTTTTATCATATAGACAGTTGTGACTCAAATGACTCACACACTGGCAACCAACTGGCCTGTAAAAAGATAAGTCAATTTAATGAAGTTGCTTGATGTTTGCCATGTCCACTGCTTTCTAACACTCTCAACCAGTCATTTATCTGATTTAGAAGATATTGTGAAGTTCTTCATAGAATTTTACTACATACTGTTCTACAAAAGATGCTGGGTACATAAACTGCAATTTTTCTTCATGGTTGTCTGTTTGCTCATTACAAGGAGGATAGCGTGGAATGTTTGTATATTCCAAATGTCCTGTGGCATGTTTTATTCACTCAGAAACAGTCCTGGTCCACAAGGAACTCATTTGTGATATGGTAGTCAGAGGGTAGGAAGACAACCAGATAAATTAAAAAATACACACATACACACACACATTCATTCATACATGAAATAAAAACAAAAGTAATTTCTGGAGTCACTAGCAACTGGGGAAGGGTGGGGGTGGAGGGAGGGAAGAAGCAGGTCAGGAAGGCCTCACTTAGGACATGGCATTTGATTTGAGTTTTGAAGGAAACCAGACATTCGACAAGGCAGAGATGAGAAGTGAATGAATTCCAAGGAGGGAGGACAGGACTTGCTGCCTTTGGGAATTTGATGAAGTCAATTTTGCCAAGGTATTAATCACCTCTCCAGAGACCTGTCAGCTCTCTTTGTGGCAGCTTCTTTATGATTCTGCTTTCATTTCATTGCTGGAGGAACTAAACCAGATCTATTATGACATTCTCACCATAATTGAAAACAAAAAACACAGAGGCATGTAAAATACAATTTGGGTCAATTTTGTATGCCTTTTTTGTTCTGCTATTAGTAAAGGGGAAAAAAAAGAAAAAAAAAGAAAGAAAAGAAAAAAGAATCCTCAAACAACAATTCCTGTATTCAAACAAAGGAGGACTTAAGTATCAGCATTTTAAGATGCAGAAATTTAGTTTGATTCATTAATTTTAGGTGAAAGTTTTGGGAAAATGAAATGCCAATCTTGACACAGGAATGGTGAAACATATTTCTTCTCTTTATAGTGGTAGTTATTAAAGTAGAATGCTGAATCTTGTTACACATATTTATTGCTTATTTTGTTATGCTGTATTTCTTTGTTATGAACAGTTAATGAGGGTAGAATTTACTGGGAAATTGAAGTAAAATATGAAAGTCATCAATAAAATACCTTAAAAAAATAAAATGAACATAATTCCCTCTAGACATTAACAAGAACTAATGCCAGAAAACAAGTCAAATTTTACATCATAGTTTACAAAATGGATTAAAAACCACCTCTTATCATTCTACTTAAAAGAAACATATTTAATGCAAAAAGATACATATGCTGCAATGGAAATGGTCTAAAACGTATCAAGCAAATGAAAATTGTTTTTTGTTCCTCCAGCACAAGCTTGTATGATCAACAAGAATTCTCAATTTAAAGTCTTGTATTTTATTATGTGATATGTTTACAAATATTTCCTAAAATAGACATCTATTGTTCTTCATTATGTCTGATGACATTTCTTTTCGACTTCATTATTCCAGAAAAACATACTTTTTTTTATATGGAGCTGAACATGGAACTCTGGATTAATACTAGAGTAAGTGGAATAGGACTTCATACACAGAAAAATGGGGCTGTGTCTGGCTTTAAATTAGTCAACAAAATAAGCAGATCCCCCTGAGTCTGTCATGGTACAGGCACACATAATTTTGCCCTAAGAATATACCAGATGAAGACAAAGATTAAAGTTAACAGTTCTAACCAGTTACTTCCTGGGAGACCCTAAGTAGTGGGATAAAGGATATGAATTTAGGCAACAGACACATATGAATTATAATATTCATTCTTTAATAGGTTAACATCAGAACTCATATTTTCAAAGCACTTAGATTGGTATCTAAGATTGTTTCCAAATTCAGTGCGATCAAATGAAATATTCATTGTCTCACTACCTTTTATTAGAGGGTAACAGTATTTCCATTAAAAACTGTACCAGGCTGCAGCATCAAACATATTTGGAGTATTCCAGGCAATGATGTAGCACTGAAAAATGAGGTTTGCTTCACATAAGACCAATTTCAGAGCATGACATATCTAAACCACCCAAAATAATTGCTGAAAACTACAAAAAGAAATTATATATTTGCATAAAAATTCAAGACATAAAACAATTAGTAGTGTAGATAACAAAACTGCAGCACAAGTTCTCAAAACAATTTCTTCCCCAGTCTTTTTAAGTGAAGACAATATTCCATATCATTAAAAAAAAGTAATTGGGAAAGATAAATTGCTCTTTTAAAAACAGATATACTTTTGTGCCACACTTTCCATTTTTAAAGGGGCTGCTCACATGCTTGAACTGACATGTGCCAAAGTCACATACTTATACAGAAATGAAATATGAGCCTGAGAAAATTTTCCCACTTGTATTAAAAAGTAAATCATTACAGCCATCTAAAAGCAAAGGCTACATTTATACTCTCAGACCAAAAAATATAGAGAAGGATATTTACAATTATTAATTCATATTCATGACTTTTCAATAAGTGAATTATTTTTCTCCTGTTAAAATAAGTAAGAGATTGACAATTATAAAGTAAAAATAAGATATGTGCATATAAAAATAAAGGCCTTCACTCTGAAGGGCAAGTTTACTAATTTAGGTCAAGGAAAGGAAATAAGGTCAAGTGACAGGATGTTGTTAAGATAAAAATAATAAAAAGCATAACTACTTCCATTTCTTCAAAATCAATGTCTATACAACTCATATGTAGTTATCACTTATCTCAAGGCTCTCAAGAAATGATATTTTAAAAAATGTATACAGAACATATTTAGTACAAATCCAATTGAATGAAGTTAACATGAAACAATGAGTAAATTTTTTTATATGCTTATCAAATTTTTACTATGAACTTATCAAAATCAAAAGAATTTAAGGAAGGATGCCAGGCTTAAAGGCAAAATGACAGTATGAAGGCCTGATAACTTTTCTTCCAAGATAAATCAAATGAAATTAAGTTCCCATAAATTTAATAATATAATTTTAGTTACAAATATTTCCTATTGCTCCTTACTTCTCAATTTATAATTTTTACAAAGGGCTGACCTTATCCAACAGCTAACTTGTGCTTCAAAAAAAAATGAATATCCTGAGTGAGGGGGATGTTCTTATTTTTTAAACCAACCTTTATCAAGACAAATAGACCTTGTACTATTTAGATTTGTTCTATCACATATAAATATTTCTGGATTGTGCACTGCAATATTGTTTCTTAAACATGAATTATGTACTATAAATATATTGATATTGGCCCTTTTTTAAAGGCTATGTTAGCCACATATTCAAGCTGGATAAAAATAAAAAAAATAAAAATGTGTTACCAAGGAAGCATAGAAACAGTCTTTATCTCTGATAATCTATTGGGGATGGACATGGGGTGGGAACAGGTGCTCCAGGGATAAACATCATGAAAAATGCAATGTCCACAAACCCCTACATTTGTGCAAGAGCAAGTGTTGAAAAACAACAGAAAAGCAACTAAATTACCATGCTAACAATATAAGTTTCACTAAAGAAAGGAATGTAAATTTCACATTTAAAAAAAAATTTAACTTGATTACTTCTACATTTATACAAACCAAATTAAAATTATTTGATATGAAAAATCTATGTAATCACTTGTACAATGCATGTTTTAGCTAAAATTTATATTCAATTTTCTCAATGTGAATGGATTTTCTCAGGGGTTCAACTTCTCTTTCCTTAACATTTTTTCAAACTAACTTGCTAATAGCTCCTTACTTTTTATTTGATGTCCAAATGGTTAAAAAAAAACCAACTATATATATCCTCAAGTGAGATACCTCTTCTTGATATTAAAAAAAAAAGCCTTATATACTACAATGATTTTTAGCTATTAAATGTATTAGGGCTCTTCCAAAAATGATTTGTTTCAAACATAAAATAATTATTTATGAATTTATCTAGAAAAGCAAGCCATTTTATTTTAAGCCTGCCTTTCAAGGGGCAAACATATTACCCAACTCCATACTGCCAGTATAGAAATGAATAATACCTAAGTCCAAAAAGGTAAAAAGAACAAGGCAAGAGACAGTTTCAAATGAATAAAACAGAATTATATTCCAGATTATCTTGGGAAAACTTTGATACAATGATAAATAATTTTAGCAGTCTTTAAAAGGAAACTGTCTGGGGAAATAACAAAAACTCAAGGCTACGGTTTTTTACTGAGGGAAGGTAAAACTCAAAGTCATTATTTTTTTTTAACTAATTAGGAACCAGAGATAGAATTACACAAGAGATATGTTCCTTAAAAGTTGGATGTAAATCTAATTTTCTTAAGTAACTGAAAATGCATTAGTAAACTTGCTATTTAAAGAAGCCCCAAAATAAATCATTTTAAAGTGAGTAACACTTTATTGTGTAAATAATCACCCCAATAATATTAGAGTCTTTTCAACATGGTTTTTTTTTGTGCATCTGACTTCTTATATTGTGAGCCACATTTGTTGTGCATCATGATGTACCATGTATTCCTGTCAGTACTATCTACAATCACTGGTGGATCTAGGCAGTGTCTAGCTTAAATTAATGAGGTTTAAGCAGCTAATGGGAAGATCATATTGCTTGATACCTGTATAATATGTCTGAAATTTTATTACATAAAATAAATATAGTAAATTATAGTTAAATTAATCTTGCCATACTTTAGGCTCTGGAAAATGATGAAAATCTGGTTTGTTCCCTAATATAGACAGTAACTTCTATTCTTGGCTCATCTCTGTAATAAAACCAACCAATGATGGTTAAAATTTCTAAAACTCAAATAAGGGTTGTCTGAAGTCAAAATATTAACAGATATTTAATCTTTCCCCTTCCAGGTTCTCAAGAAGAAAATATATATCCTTCTCTACTAAGTAGGGTAGAAAATACTCCATCTAGTAAGGGAAAACTGAATTATCCCAGCCTAGCAGGTTTCTCCATTCCAGACATCTATGCATCAGAAAAACAATTCATAAATATAATTACTAATGACGAAGAAATGTCATTATCCCCACATGTTAAATATACTAAAACAGAAATCAATTAAATCAGCTTGAAAATGCAATGAATATTCTAACCTAAAGTACCTAACAGAATCTGAACTAAAACCATTGTTCTGGTTGCCACCTACTGGACATATTTTTTTTTCACATGAACCTCTATTTCAGAGATCTTTTTTACTGCTCCTTCTTTAAGACCTGCAATTGGCAGCTTTTTGTGAGGGCTTAACTCTAAAAAATGAGAGAAAGAAATGTCTGTAGTACCCTTTCAGTCTCTCTCCTATGTGCCATGGCTATTTAAATATACCGAGTTGGCCTGCAATATAATAAGCTTATTTTCTGGTGAAGTTGGAGGTGGATTTTCTCCCAGAAAGTAATTGCAAAAATTCAATGTAAAAGAACTGTCAAAACTAAAATGATCTCTTCCACTATTACTTCATAAATAGAGAAAACACTGTAAAAGATGAGGAAAATGACAAAAGCAAACACTTCTCTCAAAAAACAGATCAAATTAAACATCCTGTTAGATAGTAATACTAAAATACAATTAATTACATGAAAGAAAACAAAAACACAGCAACACAGTATTTCCATTAAAGAATTCTGGAAATGCAGTGATATGACCATTTCCTATGACCCAAATGTGTTCATGGTTCACAGGACATGTTACAAAGATTGATCTTAAAACAATATAAAAATAATATGAAGCAGAAGGGAAAAAAATCCTCTTAGAGGATTTGAAAGGTAAGAGTTCAAAATACAACTCTGTCCTCCTGAGTTCTTTCCCACCAAAGAGTGCTGTTTAAAGTTCCACAACTGTTATCTTCTTCCTCCTGTTCTTTAGTGAGTTCTACAAAAACCTAATGGAAGAAGAAATCAAGTCCAATACATGTAGTGTTAAAGAAGCCAAAAGAAATCTCTTAAATTATTAAAGTTTGATTCTAATTTTGATTCTAAGTTATCAGAATGGATTTCTTGACACCATCAATACAAAGAGTGAAATAGCCTCTGTAAGTTAAGAGCAAAGAATGATTTTTTGTCATGGCTTTATCAAATTATTTCACTGAACCCAATTAGCACATGGCACTGTCATCATTAGTGGTATTAAATTAGATTAAAGAGATAGTAAAGTAATATAACTAGGGAATAGCCATACATGATCTTTGAATCCACTGCTGGTAAAAACATTTGACATTTTTACACAATTTCTATGTAAATATGATATTGAAGTTAGTCAGAAAAAGTTAAGAGTCCCACAACCAATACCAGCCAGAGAGCTAGAACCTCTAATATAGGTACTCTGACAGAATAGTCTCATAGGAGTAAGTTGTCTCTGTAACATGTTCATCATTCCCAAACTCTTCTCTACACCCATGACCTCAAGCAGCTTGTAGCACAGCTCAGCATGCAAGATGCTGCCAGGCATACACAACATATAAGGAAACAAGAAGAAATACAGAGGAAGCCACTCAGGAATAATAAACTCCTGAAGTTGCACTGCTTTACCACAAAGTGATCATAGTTGGATGATTCCCTTTGCCTTAATAAAATCAAATGGATTCTATTTCCATTTTGTAACTGATTCTATTCTGTATCATCTCCAATATACTGTAAAATTGCCTGTTTCTTTGTCTCTGAGTTACGTTTAGAAGCTCAGCTTTCCTCTATGAGCTAAACTGTCCCACAAAATCACCTTAATTCAAAGAAATATATTGTCTCTACACATCTTACTGCCCGTGTACAATTAAGGGAGCTCTACTATCTTGCTAACAAGCCTTGCAAGATGCAGGTGTGCACCAGGAAGTCTATTATCTCTGCAACACTGGTGGTCTTTCAAGAAAGTATGGACTGTTATCATTGTGATTCTAACTAGCCATGCCAGTGGACATCACCAATGAGCTTTCCACTGCAACAAGACAGAAGGAGAAGTTGTTGCTAGCCATTCATTGCTGACTTCCATCCAGTTAGGTTGTTTTCCATCATTTATGATACTTCAGACTTTGAAACCAACCATACTGTCCTATGCTTTCTGTTCCTTGTTCGCTTATACTTCCCAAAACTACATGAAGGCCTTTAAGCCCTGCCTCGTGGTCTTTCAAATAACTGAGGAGTTGAGAGACCCTTTTATTGGTAACTGCTAGGCTTTCCAATAAGTTGAAACATGCTTAGAACTTTGTGCCTCAGTTTACTTTAATTTCAATCACAATACCCCTCTTCCAAAAGTATGAGTTATGCAAGAGCAATAGAAAGGGCTAGTCTTAGAAACACTAGCCCAGAAATTTCGTTCTGCTTTGATCTGCCACGCAGAGGCTATTACTCATGGATGCTGTATGCTGTTCATTATCTGGTTCCACAGCTCAGCTGCCCCCTACTTCCTTACCATGGTAACACAAATAGCACTTAAGTCTTTAAGAGACAACTTTGTACAATCATCATTTGTATATGTTTCACAATATTTTTTTTCAATTTTTAGGCAATTGGGGTTAAGTAACTAGCCCAGGGTCACACAGCTAGCAAGTGTTAAGTGTTTGGTCTGAGGCCAGATCTGAACTCAGGTCCTCCTGACTTCAGGGCCGGTTCCCTATACACTGCGCCACCTAGCTGCCCCACATGTTTCACAATATTAAAATTATTTGACTTTACTATACCTGTTCCAGTGTTGCTTGAGAAAAGTTGTATTCTTCAATACTGAACGTATGTTTAGCTATTAAAACGACAAAAAAAGAATGGTTCACTCATCAGTATTTTCAAACAACAAAAGAGGTACATGTTTAACAGCATTAATTTTTTTTTGCAAAAATTAGGTCAGACAGAATGCAATGATATAAACTTTATGCATCTTAAATTAATAAATCTATTAAGAGCATATCACACCATGCCTGTGGCTGAGACAAGTGATAGTTGTCTGGCCCTATGCCATTTTTAACTAGCATAACAGACTATCTCAAACTCAGATCCCTTTGATCAATTCTTCCCATGAATTAGGGTAGAAAGGTAAAGTGACTAGTAGATGAACTAATCAAACAAACTAGAGGCCCAGTGACAAAAGTTAGCTGGGTCTTCAGGGAGGTACAGGATTACTGAGTGCTAGCACTAAATAATCTACTATAAACTACTAGGTGCAAAAAAGCTTACACATGACTCTATTAGCAGTAGGTTTTTGAATTCTGAGTTCCAAACAACTGAATTACAAATGATCTTGTGGAATATACTGCATTTATAAAGTTGGGGACTATAATATAGGTGCTTTGGAAATATTTCATACCTTCCTCCAGCTTAGAAAAAGACTGTGCAACAGATTGTACATCTTCTTTAGGAATTTTATAAGCCAAAATAGAAGAAAAACTGAAAAATATAAGGAAGCATAAATTACAAAAGTTATAAAGTGATAATCTCTACATTATATCAACCAATAAAAATAATGAATTATCCATTCCATTATTCTGAAGGTAAAAATCAAAAGTACAAGATAAAAACCACAATTTTAGCATATATATATGAATAAAATTTAACATTTATTTTCAATGTATCAATGAAGTTGTGATCTCATTGAAATGGGTATTCATATTGTCAGCACATATCAAAACCCTCTTATGCCTTCTCATCCTGTGTAATATTCCAAAGATAATCTACTTAATATACTGGAGACTATCCTCAAGGTCTTTTTACATTTGAAGGATACAAAAGGAGCATCCATCTACTGTCTTTTGCCCATAGTATATTAACTTTCCCACTTCCTTTTCTGGATCATACATTTCCTCAATAATATCCCTAACATCACTTCTTGAAAGTATACTACCACTGGAAATACATTGGAACTTAACCTCACCCACCATGTAATTCATCAATGTCCTTTGAGTTACTTTCAAAATTGGAGACCATGGTATTCCACATTTGTAATTATAAAGAATCACCAAGAAAATACTTATATTGAAAGGATGGATCATTGCAGTGGGGAACAGACGGGGATCCTTAAAAGCAATATGCAATTTTCCAAATACTATTCTCTTTCTTCTATTACACCTATTCAAATTTTGGATCCAATTCATGGCTCATTTGCAGTGACTACCCCAAATATGTGTGCTGATACATTAACTCAATGAACTGGCAAATAATTCAATACTATAATTTGGACAACAGATATTTTTATTCCATTTCGTTTTTTTCGTATAGATTGTTAAGTTAATTTCATTAGAAAAATAACAGATTTTAATGGAGAAGTGCTGCAAATTCTGGGCTTTAATTCAATCAGTTCAATATCATCCACAAAAAAGGAGAAGATCCTACCATCTATAAGGAATCCCTCTTAGTCTTATACCTTGTGCAAGAAACCCTACATAACAGCACCTAACTCCTTCGGCAAGCAATACCTCCTTGTTTTCTGCTTTGCTTAATGTTAAGCCCATCAGAGAACAGTTACATCCATTGCTATATCTGGCAAATAATATATTATGTCCAGCAATTTGGAACTATTCCCCAAAAGTTACTAAACTGTACACACCTTTTAACCCAAAGACACCACTACTAGATACACACATTAAAGAGATAAAAAAAAAAAGAAGAAAAGGACCCTATGTACAAAAATACTTATATAGCAGATTTCTTTTTTGTAGTGGCAGAGAACTGGAAACTAAGGGAAGTGCCCATCACTTGGGGAAAGACTAAACAAATCATGGTATACAAACGTAGTACTATTACGCTGTAAGGGATTATGAAGGGGATGAAGAGCTACTGTTTTTTTTTTTTTAGAGAAACTTGTATGAACTGATGCAGAGTAAAGTGAGCAGAAACAGGAGAACAATTTATACAATAACAACATTAAAAAACTTAAGAACTCTGATCAACACAATGACCAGTCACGATTTCAGATGAGGCAGGGTGAAATATGCTAGCCATCTCCTGATAAATAATGGATTAAGGATGCCATGGCAATGAGGGAATATAATTTGGTTGACCATACATATTTGTTAGAAGAACCTGCACCCCCCTTCTTCTTCCTCTTCCATGGAGGAAGGTAGGATTTTTATTCACTGAAAAAATAAAATTTAATTAAAAAAAACTCTTGATCTCAGCATATACACAAAAGATTACTTGTTGGAAGAAGGCTTCTAAGGCTGTTTTGTTCAACTCAATAAATCAACCAGCATTTATTAAGCACTTAACAAATGCCAGGCACCAGTAACACAAATACAAAGAATGAAACAATTCCTACTCCCAGGGAATTGACACTAACAAGAGAGAACACTATGTATAGAAGGGTAAGCAGAGTAACAATAAAGAGAATATATACAAAATAACCAAAAACAAAGTCTTTGGGGAGGAATAGGTACGGTGGAAGGCAGAGTGGGAGGGGGGAGTTAAGATCAGGAAACGCTTCCTATAGAAGGTAGTGACTGAGCTAAGTCTTGAAGGAAGACAGAGATTCAAATGAGTCACAGTATCTTTTGTGATTAAAAAACAATGCAGAATTTTGTATTTTCTGTACTCCTTAAACAACTGTGTGACTATAAAGATATAATCAACTAGAGTATCATTTGTGAAAGCTTGCCTATTTTCTTCTCATACTGTATAATTAAGGAAGCCCCTGACAAAAATTTAGATCACTCTCATAAAATTATCCTTAAGAAGATAAGAAAGTAGTGTTCGCTCCACTACTTTTTTAGGGAGGTATCATCCATTATTTTTTTCTTTTTCTCTTTTTTGGTATCTTCTCATCCCTGAGATATATATTTAATTAATCCCTCAGTGATTTCAAGACTAGGTTGCACATCAAGCTAAGATTTTCTTAGTGTGTATTTCATTGATTCAGCCAACCACTTCTTTATCTTTCTATATTGTCATTTCTACATCTTGATCTAAGACTTCTGGGATGATAGGACTACTGGAATTTCTCTTCCATGAAAAAAAAAAACAGACATAGAAACACTGCCAAATTTATTCCATTTTCCACCAATTTGCTGTCCTCCTAGAAGTTTTATCTATGACTATTTCCGGAATGACGTGGCTCATAAGTTCTATTGTAACTTGTTTTCACTTCAGCAGCTTCTTGTTAAACATAATCTTCCATCTTTCTCTTCCATACCATTTTACAAATGAGTTATATTCTACACCAATGTTGCCTTTGGCTGCCATATTCTTTTGCTTGATCATCAAGCATATGCTGACTGAAGCAATTCCTGTGCCCTTTGGTCTTCATTGTGGGAACTGCCTGAAATCAAGTATGTTTTTTGTAGGAAATAGTGATGATCATGGTCAATACCTTTGTCTTTTTTTTTCCAGTTTTAAACAAATAGCTCTTTTTGAGTAAGGCTAAAGTTGTTGCTATTTTTAAAAATATCTTCTTATCTTTACCTTTCTTGTAATTTGACATTGATTTTGGACCTTTTCTCTCAAAGGTTTGACTACTGAAAGCTGATTCTAATAAAATTCTTACATCACTAATCAGTTTTTTCCTAAATGTTAAACATTTAATTTCACTGCTTGTCACAGACATTACTTTCCCATTCCCAATTTCCCATGACATTTCCATCCCATTTCTCAAACCTGAGCTATATTTTCCAATGTACTTTTTCCAATCCTCACATGTACCTCACCTTCTCACTGATGTCACTGAATATCAAAGTATATAATGACCAGTCTGGAGTTTCTTGTCAAGCATTTTGTAGCATTTTTCTATTCCTTTATTATTTGAAACAAATGTTGGCACATTAACAATCATCTTCATGGTGGTCCCTTTTGCTTATGTTCATCATGAATACTGCAAAGATGAGATGATCAAATGTCTCACGAAATGGTGTTTATTATTGTCTTTAGATATACTAAGAAATCATCTTGACCAACATCACCTCACCAAAGAGGTCATCCTTCCAGTCAACAATCACTAAGCATACTATGGGCCAGGTATTTTGCTAAGTGCTTGAGATAAAAATAAAGACAAAAACAATCCCTGCCCTCAAGAAGAGAAGGCACTAGCATCCGGCAAGGTAACAGGACAAGGCCTCCTGCACAATGTGAGATTTAAGGTGAGCCTTGAAGGAAGCCAAGGAAACTAAGAAGCGGAGGCAAAGAAAGAAATCATTCCAGGCATGAGGGACAACCAGTGAAAATGTATGGAGATAAGAGGCAGGGTATTAAATGTGAGGAACAACAAGTGTAGTTGAACTGGAGAGTACATGGAGTAATATAAAGTGTAAAGAAACTAGGAAGGGGACGGATTATGAGGAACTTTTAATGCCTAATAGAGTTTATATTTGATCGTAGAGGTATAAGGAACCCGTTGGAGTTTACTGAGAAGAGGGTGAGACCTGTGCTTCAGGAAATTACTTTGGTGGCTTAATGGAAGACGGGTAGGAGTAGGAAGACACTACTTTTTTGTTTCCTAATTAATTTTTCAAGAGACTATCAATATAGATGTGGTTTAATTCTTCCAATTGGCTAGGCTGGTTCTCAGAAAGCAGGCCTCAATATTGCCAAAACTTCACTGAATTCAAGCTTATGCACCAATGGCATATTCTTTAAGAACTCATACCATAATGAGGCTTCAGGGTAGTAATCTGTCTTAACATATAAAATGTTATGAACCATAATATTTCACTTTTTAAAAATGTTTTGATTGCACAAAAAGTCATTTTTCTTAAAGAAGTTATAAATCAGAATATGAAAATTATCAAGTCAACAGCAGAACCAAAAATAAAGTCATACTATTAGACTATATATTTTATTTAGGCATACGTTCCCCAGTAAATGAAAAGTCTTAAATCTTCCTATGGCAATAGATTGTCTATAATTGTGTTATTAAGAAACACTATTGAAATTTTTTATCTTTACCTTTCCTGACGAATTGCATTTGGAAAAATATAGTGAATTTGTCTTTGAAGTTGTTCCACTTCCAGATTTTCCATCCAATCCTTTAATTTAATTTCCAAAAAGTAGCCTCTGCCAAATTTACTCTTTAGGTGTTGTACAGTGCCAATACATCTGCAGCAGTTTGGGGGAAAAAAAAGAATCCTGAGCCATGTAAACACAAAATGACACATTTTAATGGAAGGTGTTATATTTAAATCCCAAAACACTATTTTTAAAAAGTTACCCAACACTACGTCCAAAAATTTATATTTACTATATGCATAAATCAATTCTAAATGAGGTAACTACCCATATTTGGACCTAAATAATATCCTCAAGTTGATTCATACTTAAGGACTGCCTCCTAAATTAAAGGAGGAAAAAAAAACCCACAATATAGACCAGTAGTATATTTATTACATGTCTTTGAAATTATGATATAGTTGAGATATTATGCTAATTACAGGTTCCTACCTTAATTGTCCAGATACCAAAATTGCAACTCGATCACAGACCGCCTCTGCCTCTTCCATATAATGAGTAGTCAAGATGGCTGCTCGCCTTTTGTTTTTAAATGCAGCTCGAATTGCTCTCCTACAAGAAATCCAAAGGAAGGAGTATCTGTAATTTTATATTTCTAAGCTGTTTAAGTCTTAGTAAATATTTGACTTGTAACAATTTCTCAGATTTTTTGTCACTCTTTCGTCCCATGGTATTTCAATTGTTGTATTCTTATTTCCACTTTTATTCCAAAATTTTAAATAGAGGAGGCAAATGTTCATGTTTTTTATTGTATCTACTTAAAATAGGCAGCACACTGGATAGAGTACTGGACCTGGAGACAAGACATGAATTCAAATTCAGTGTCTAATGACACTTACTAGCTGTGTAACCCTATGCAAGTCACTTAACTTCTGTCTGTCTTAGATTCTTTACCAGTAAAATGAAGACAATAATCTCACCTCCCAGTCAGAATTGCTGTGAGGGTAAAATGAAATATTTGTAAAGTACTTTGAAAATCTTAAAGTGCTATAAAATTGGCTATAAAATTATTATTATTAAGATAAAGGAAATGTAAGATTATCTCTTCTGTGACCCTCATTTTACATATGAAAGAATAGAACAAGAGAGTTAGTTAACTACTTAAAATTCCAAATTTCTTGAAAGACTACTACTATTACACAAATTGAAGAACTAAGAACTATTACATATATGTGTAATGTATACACATTTAAATTATAATAATGATAAGTGCTTAGAAATAATGAATTACAAAATGTTTTTGGACTATCTTTTTTTTCTAATTACACATATAATAATTTTATGGTAGGTATAAAAATAAACCTATTATTTTAAGAAAAATGACAAACCATATTACATTAAATAGAACTTCTCAGTTTAATAAATCAAAATTATGGTTTTAGTATCTTCTTATGCTATCGCAGAATATTAAAGCTGAGAAGAACCTTAAAGGTCAACTAGTCTAACATCTTTATTTTACAGATGCGGAAATTAGAATTCAAAAAGATGAAATGACTACCCTTAGGAAACACAGCCAATTAGCAGCCAAGGCACTGGAACTCAGGTGTCCTATTTCTCCATTCACTACTCTTTCCAACTGAGACCTACCTACAATCCAAAGGTAAGACTAAGAGAGTTGTAGTCAAACAATTTTGACACTCTAAATGTTTTGGTTAGAATACGATAAAATTTAATGTTCTTTGTTTCTCTTGTGTCATACTCACCACATATGCTGCTTGGCTTTAGGATCCATGCCAGTAGATGGTTCATCTAACAAAGTAACCTGAGGAGTTCCAAGCATGCTTAGTGCAAAACACAGCTAGAAACAAAGAAACAAAAATAACTAATTAAGTATGAGATTCCATGACAGTAACACAAAGTACTAAGCAAACAATAAAATATACATATATTCGTTTTCGAATAGGAGTACCTTTCGCTTTATTCCAGCAGGCAATTTCTTTGTAGTTTTCTGGATGTGTTCTTTTAAATCAAGTGCACTTGTGATTCTGAAAATGAGCAACATAAATATAGCATACTTTTTAATATAAGTATCCATATAAAAGCTTATCAGTCACATAAATGCCAGTCATTTTAGGAGGGAAATTAACTGATGGCCACTATTCATAAATGAGAACAAAACCATCTCAATCTCTCATTCTGGTAAGAATATGGTTTCATAGTTAAAATGATAATGATAGTAATCTTAAAAATATAAAGAGACTTGCGGAAGTATATGGTGTCTTTTTTTAAAGTTATTAACTCTTTGTTAATCATCTCCACAAATAAACTACTCAGTTATATAAGTATACAAGTGGAAATAAATATTACAAAGAAAATTGTTACCTTTTTATGACTTCTTTCACATCACTTCTATTCATTCCTTTCACAGCCCCATATATTTCAAAGTGCTCCTGTAATGTAATATCTGGCCAAAGTGGATTTGTTTGAGGACAATATCCTATGTACTTAATGGAGTCATCATCTTTAGTTGCCAGTTCTGAGGAATAATCTCCCAGAAGTATCTATTTAAATATAAATTCATTTTTACTAAATATTGGTACATTAAATACTATTAATTTAATTTATAAAGATAATTGTTTAATTGAATACTTGATCATTATCTGGGTCAAGATCTAGTCAGAATTATATTGCTTTTGGCTAAAGACTATTATAAAAGGTAATATCTAAACCAAAGGTCGGCAACTATGACATACAAGATGATTCTAAACAGTCAACAGCAGAAGCTTCTTTTTTATCTTTTATCTTAGGACCTTTTCAACCCCCATAAACCTGTCTCACTTCTCCCCCCACTGCAACCAACTTAGGAGGTTCAATCTAAAGAACTTCATCTGAAAACTCATTTCAATATATTTCTAGTCTCCCAATACCTCGGCCCTACTGTCCCCCCATCACTACAATGAATTTGGAAGACTACATAAAGGAAATACCATAAGCAGAAGCACCTTCACATTAAGGTACTAACTGGGGCCAATTTATTCTAAAAGTTATTTGCTATTGGTACTGAATACTCACTTCACTGTCAGTAAATTTTTAACTCCAGCTTTACTAACCCCTTTGATTTAGAAGAATCTCCTGACTAGGCAAAAAAATGCCTTTATGTTCCTTTACCTGCCAACTTTTCCCATATTCTTATATAATGATATGTCTAAGTTCTACTTGTACCCACCTGGCCTTTATCTTTCCTTTACCCTTCCATTCCAACCTTCCCCCACTTCCCCCCCCACAAGGAACTCTGTTTCCATTGTTTAAACAACAAACATCCCACTTCATTCTAAATCTCTTCCTCTTACATTTTGTTTTTTCAGAATTAAAGATCCTTGAGGGCAAGGACAAATTTTTTTTTTTTTTGTCTCCTCACATAGGGCCTTAGCACACTTTAGGCACTGGATAAATTTGTTAAACTGATTCAATTTTTTTAATTAAATTTTTTGGCTCATGGAAATCTGGCTTTCTCCTGAAAATACCTCATCCCTTACCACCATCTCCAATATCCTCCTCCTCTTCTAATTCACAGCCAATAAAATCAAACTAACATTTATTAAGCACCTATTATGTACTAGACCCTGTGCCCAACCCAGCTCAACCCTCAATTCTCTGTTACCTCCTACCCAGTCCAACCCCCTATTTTCTATTACCTGTGACCAAGTCCAAACTTTCATTCTCTGTTACCTCTGGACCACCCCAGGCTACTTCCCATTCCGTAATCCCATCCAAATCTTCCCCCAATCTTTTTCCCTAAAAAAAATCAGCCTCCTGATCAAATCCACAGACTCACTAAGAATCCTGCCCACCCCAATCAGTGTTTTAATAAACTACTTGCACTGAAAGGAGGTTTAAGTGGTTGAATTCTTTGGAATCCTTGCCCTGTGCCTTTGCATTTCAGGGTTCCAAAGACCCCTAGACTGCAACATTATGGCTCCCTGATTGGGAATTGAACCCAGGCCGCAGTGGTGAGAGCATCAAATCTTAACCTCCACATCATCAGGGAGGGGTCCAGAGCCTGTACCCGATCAGTGTTCTCATTCCATTTCTTTACCCCTTTTTTCTTTATAAAAAGTAACTGGGGGGAAAAGTGGGAAAATCTTATAATAAAATATGATGAATGAAAAAACACAAAAAAATACAATTAACTGTAAATGAGGATGGAATAAACTCATACATAAAATAGGAGAGTGACAAAATAAGTAATGAGCAACCTTCATAGAGTTAAAAAGAGGGGTTGGGGTAGCACCTTTTTATGCCTCAGGGGAATACAGAAACATAGAGGTAGCAATTATGATCTCAGAATTGGCAACAGTAAAAACAGATAACATTAAAAGACAGAAACAGGGAAATAGCCTTGTGGGTAAAGATACCACATATAACAAAACAATATCAACACTAAAATCATTATCATCATCATTTTCTTCTTCTCTTCCTCCTCTTTTTCTTCTGAAACATTTTGAAATATAGATCTCCAAAAATAGGCTTGAAAAGAAGCCCGTTGTGTTTTAAGTAGAGCTACTGGTCTACCCTTTAAACCTCTGGCTTTCATTAAATGGTCAATAACAGCCCCAGCCCAAGCTTCAGTGGCTCACTGTTTAGGTTTAGATGACTCAGAATGAGTGTAAATAGCAATTGTTTTCAGTCTTTCCCCTTCCAGACTGATATCTTTGTGATGATAAATTGGGCCATCTTTTGTCACAATTCTTACCTAGCCCTTAAGTCACTGAATGCATATAGCCTCTGACAAACTGAGACCTTAATTTAGAAAGACCAAGGTCACTCCCTGCATCTCATTTTGACCTTTGTCTTGCCAGTGGACTCCATGACTCTGGAGAAGAAAGTGAGGCTGATGACTTTGTGCAGCTCTGCTTCATTCAAATCCAATTCAAAGACATTACCCTCATGATGTCATTGGTCCTCTTCCAGAACAAACTACTGTCTCCTTGAATTGTTCACAAAAAAGGAAATCTCCAACTTATGTTTGTAAAACATACCTCTAGTGACAAAATAACTGGTTTTACTGAGATATTTATCAACTTTCACATTTACTTTAAAATCACCTATTTGCTTATATGGCTTTTGAATGGTTTTTGATGTTTCTACTAATTAAGTTGAGTGACTTTTCCAAAGTTACATAGCTTGTCAGTGATAAAAAGCAAAGCCTATATCCCAAGTATTTGTACATTATTACAAATCTTTCACTAAACCTTATGGACAAATTATCCGTTTTCAACAATGATTTAAAAAGAAAATTATGAATGAACTCATTGTTTTCACTGGTAAGAAAAGACAGTGATTTGTCTGTCGCTATGCTGTAAATCAATGCTGGTATAAAATCTGAAATTAATGAAAAGTCCAATCTTACTTTATCAGTATAAAAATTGCTTCAGTAAAAATTTAATTTATAACTATCCTATAATTTTAAAAGTATACTATACCTGACCAGAAGTTGGTTCAATATCACCAACCAGCATATTAATAAGTGTGCTTTTCCCTGCACCATTTGGTCCCAACAACCCTAGTATCTCTCCTAAAAAATAAAAATAAAAAATTTATCATATATCAAATTAAGTAAAAATTGGAAGCCATTTTTCTAGGATACATAATTAATTTAATACCAACCTTTCTTCACACACAGAGAGACATATTTAGTTGCCACTTTCTTTCTTTTTCTTGTAAGAAGAAAATCTTTCTTCTCATCATATTCTTTATGCAAACTGCTAACCAAAATAGCTGGTTTCTAGTAAAAGAAACATTATAATAAGAATGGGTTAAGAATTAGCTATGTACCATAAAACACAACCCTGACTGAATAAACCTCATGTGCATTCTTTCATTATATTTTTATGGAATCATAGACTACCACAACCTCTAAGGAAAATAAAACAGGCAATGAAGAGACATCCTATGAGCGTAAATAAACTACAGCATATTGCTAGAAATGAACTGTGACAAAAAGCAGTGTATAGATAGCATCAAAAAGATGTATAACCAGAAAAGGATAAAAGCTCATTATAGTGAAAGAGTAAAATGCTAACAGCTTGCCATATTTAAACCCATGTAATCAATCCAGTATGATATATAAATACAATGAACAAAATAATACCTGTTCACAAACAGGAAAGACAACAAAATTATAAGACATACTTTTTATACTTATTCTTCTATGAAGGGGATTTATTCTGTGAAGTTTGGATTCAGTTAAGGGGCCGCACTTGAGGATCTAGAGGGTCGCAGGTTCCCCACCCCTGGTATAAATTAATATAGAAAATAAACACAGAGTAATGGCAACAAGCTGTCTTGAAAGAAATTTCATGATACCAGGAAAGGTTTCATGTAGAAGGTGGTACCAAAGCTCCATCTTGAAGGAAGAAAAAGAATCTATAAGGCTGAGATGAAGAGGATTCTAGGGATGGAGAACAGCTAGTACAATGGCATAAAGATGGAGTTGGAGTTGGAAGATGAAGTGTTTTTTGCTAGTAATAGATGGAACACTTGTTTGGTTATACTGCAGAGTGACAGAGGGGAGTAATGCTTGAGACTGGAAAGACAGGGAGGAGAAAGGGTGTGAAAGGCTTTAAAAACTAAATAGGAGTTTGTATTTGATCTTAGAGGCACCAGGAAGTCACTAGGGTTCCTCTTTAATTTGGAAACCATACTTAGTTTTATTTAGAAGAGATGATACTCGATTTAATCCTCAATAGAAACATAATAAATTAATATTATAATATAGAAAAGCATTTATTAAGCACCAAGCTTAATGTGCCGAGCTCTATGGTAAGCACTGGGGAGAAAAACAGAAAAGGGTAGATAGTTCTCTTTCTCAAGGAACTCATAATGTAATTGGGGGAAAGAACATGTCATAAAAAGTTCAGTTAAAAATGGGAAAGTCCTAAGGGTACAGTGGTGGAGTAGATAGTAATATCAGGCAAATGCCTGAAGTCTACAGGACATAAAGGCAGGGCAAATGGTAAGGCCTGGAGGAACTTGGCAGCAGGAATAAGGCAGATGATAAGGTCTGGTGGTCCTCCATTGGACAAAAAAAGAATAAAGTTGGTGATACCTAACTCTCTAAGCCAAGGTGAATATTCAAGAAGCCACTATGGGTTCTGGGCTGCCCCTGGGAAGGGTGGGGGAGGAGGATAAGGATAAGTAGGGTAAGAAAAAAGCAAGGAGAAAAGGGTGCTTTGATGGTGGTGGGTTTTCCCACTACCTGGCCACCTGGATGGGTTCTGTTAAACTGAAAAATACCATGTTTTATATCAATTATTCTTAACATTATTGTGTTGGTGACATGTTTTAAAGAGAATACTTTTCTCATGATCTAATGAAGAGTAAAATAAATAGAATAAGAGTTTACATACTGAAAACAGTATTAGGGGAAACAACTTTCTGATCAATGTAAGTGGTCATGTAATCATGACTCCAGGGGGCTGATAGTAAAATATACTTTCCACTTCTTGGCTGAGAGATGATGGATTAGAGGGGCAGAAGGGGGCACACGATTTCAGACATGGCAAATGTGTTCATTTGTTTTGCTTGACTTGACTTATTCATCCCAAAGGAGACGCTCAGGGTGAGGGGTAAGAGTTAAAAGGAAATAACATCAATGAAACATTGAAAAGGCCTATATAGAAAAGAACAGAAGAAAGTTAAGATGCAGACAAACAGGAGGATGTTGGTACTAACCATGTTTAACATATATATATATATATATATGTATATGTATATGTATATGTATATGTATATGTATATACACACACACATATTTAAAAAGGAAACTGTACATAAGTTCAAAATTTCATCTTCTTTTCTGTTTATATATTAAAATGTACATTTTAAGCATTTAATAAACAAAAAAAAATACTGTTCAACTTCCGAGAAAGGGAGAAAGAAAGGGATGGGAGGACAAAGAGAGAGAGAGAGACAGAGAGAGGAGAACACTTTTATCCAAGGATATAAAATATTCCAGTGTACTTACTATATATACTTGAGTTTATTTTATATATTTGTACTACATGTATTAGCCACAAGTATGAAACTGAATAAAGGTTTTGCAATAATCAACAAATTTCATGGTACTTTGGGGCAGCTTGTTCTATAATTTCAGGATCAATATTATAAAAAGTTGTTCTTAAAAGCCTGGGATATGTTGGTATACCCTTATTGTACCTCAGCCAAAATACTGTTATCTTGTAAATGTTTATTGATTTTAGCAATATAAGCTGTAAATGCTTTGTATAAAACTCATATACATAAATATATTTGAAAAAGTCATTGGTGTTATCATCTTTTGATAGCAGATATGTGATGCCTTCTGTTAAGAAAATGGAGATCAAGATTGTGTCTGAGAAGAAGTGGGTAAAGTGCTTTGCTGGTAATTCATGTGCCACTGTGAAGTGTTTGTTAATCAACAACTATCTTATCCATCTCTGCAGCTTTCCTGTTTTGGAGAAAACCTAGAGCTTCAATTACCTGCCTTACTCACTACTAGGCCATTTATCATGTTAACAGTGTGCAAGCTATTTTTTCATTTCATCTCATTTGCATTTTTTGTAACATCCAACTTCTTATGACTATGCTGAAAATCAGAAAATTTCCATACCCTAATTCATGAGTTCTCCTTTCCTATTATTTTCCTGTTTCTCAAGCCTCTACACTAAAATTTTTGGTTGGAGTTGAATTGTTTTTGTTCTTTGTGCTATTTGTCTCTTTGTATTAACTTCATTTTTTAATTTGACTATTGTTTTCAATTAACAGTTAAAAGAATCAAGAATTTCTGATAAACTTTTATTTTCCAGATTCTATTCTATCTCTTTTTCTATTGAATGAAACAGTGAAAAGGCATTTATTAAGTGCTTACAATGTGCAAAGCACTGCATTAAGAATTTGAGATATAAAAAGAAAAGACAGCCCCTGCTCTTGTCATATGTACGAAAGAATTTCATCTGCAAGTCAAATGGAAAGGTTTAATTGTCCTTAGGGTGCTGGCAATGCATCTTGTTTCAAGTAATTTTCACTGATAAAACTCTCATCTGTTTCTTATATGGAACAATCTGACAGTGGCAAAGATTTGATACCAAAAACAGATTGAAATAACCTAAGAATAGCAGACAGATTGAACCTCTACAAGGTTGCTTCGCTGGATGATGGTTATGGAGTCCAGGTTGGTAAGTGAATTGGTGGGGGTGGGTGGGAGTGGGTTAAGGGGGGAAGAGTGTGAGAAAATACTGATATTCCTGGGTCTTTCGGTCTTACCTGCTTATTACTGATCTGGCAATTGGTCAATGTTGTTGGTGGTGAGGCAGGGACAGCCTGGAGGGCCCTTTTACATAAGTACTATTCTTTTTTTTGATGATAGCTATGGGGGTTGGAGGTCAGAGAGCCCTAAAATTCCCAGGACTCTTGAATTCTGGAATCTGGGGCCATCTCCACAGTGATCCAAGAGAAGATGGCTGCCAAGTAACAGCGATGTTTTAACACTCTGTGATACGTCCATCCAAAGGTGTGCTTCATAAGATCATAGATTTGGATCAGAAACCACATAGTCCAATCTTCTAATTTTACAAATGAGGAAACTTAGGACCAGAGAGTTTAAATGGCCTGCATAAGGTCACTCAGGACCTGCTCAAAGTAAGAAGTATGAGAGGTGGTATTTGACATGAGATCCTCTGAATGCTGAGCCAATGCTCAGGAAGGAATGCATCATTGGCAGCACTTACTAAATCATGATACTCATCTATCAATTGCATCCACCAAAAAAGCAAAGATTTTTTTTGTGGAAATTTGACTAACAAATTTCCATCTTTCCAAATATCAACCAGTTATTCTTACAAACAAATCAGAAGATGTTGCATTATACAAAATTTTATATGCAATTATATTTAAATTTCTAACGTGCATATATGAGTTTTAAGAGATGACAAATTTATATTGTTTTCAGAAGAAAAAAAGATAAGCTTTTTAAATTTCTAACGTGCATATATGAGTTTTAAGAGATGACAAATTTATATTGTTTTCAGAAGAAAAAAAGATAAGCTTTTTAAATGTTTTGCTTATCATGATGGCTTCATATTATCATTACGTACTAATCTGCTTATCATGATGGCTTCACATTATCATTAGGTACTAATCTAAAAAAAACACAAAAACACCATAGTGGAAAAAGAGCTTTGGCTTGGGAGCCAGGAAGACTGAGTTCTAGTCCCACCTCTGATACAAACTGACTGTACAATCCTGACATGTCACTAACTTCTCAATGCTCTAGGCCACTCTCTAAGTGTATAAGCTGCATAAAAGGTGCAGACTTGCATTGAAGAAGGGAGTTACCTAACCCAGGAATTCTCTTTTGTCAATAAAAGCAAAGGTCTAGTCTAGTCTTTCTCCTCAACATCTCAAGGCAAAGTATTGCTTTAAAGGGGAATGGAAAGGAGAAGGGAACAAGCATTTTTAAGCACCTACTATGTGCCAGACACTTTAAATATATTATCTCATTTGTTTCTTTACAACAATTGGAACTGGATGTTATTATTATCCCCATTTTACAGCTGAAGAAATTGAAGTAAACAGAGGTGAAGTGATTTGTCTGGGGTCACCAAGTAAGTTGTCTGTGGTTAGATTTGAACTCGCATCTTCCTGATTTTAGCCTCAGCAATCTATTCACAACCTACTTAAGGTAAGGTAGGTTTTTTTGTTAACAATAATGGATATAAATCTGTATCTTAAATAATTTCAATAATTTTGAACTTTTTTGGCCAATTTCTTGTTAGATCTGGTCAAAAAGTCATTTTTACTTCATAAACGCCTGCCTTTTTGGCTAAGAAGTTCCCACTAGGCGTAAAAGAAGTGACAATTCTGCCATTTTCTTGTTGTTTATGTGTACTTGCAATATTGATATTATCTTCAACCCATGATTTCTTTGTAGGAATTTTTAAAAAAACATTTGTATACTTTGTGAGGATAACCTTACTTAAAACTAGATGATATAAACTGTCAGTTCACTTAACAAATTGTAATATTCTACAATTCATTGAAATCAAACAAATGATCACAGGTACCACTGTCAACTCCTTTGCATTGTGGAACACCTGTATTTCCTTCAAAATATTTCATATATTATACATCAGAGCTGTCAAACACATGGTCCAAAGGTCTGTAATACTCTCAAATGTAGCCCAAATCAAATTAAAATGTAACTGGGAAATATCTGACAAAATAGAAATACAATAAAACAAAGGGAATGTTAATTTGTAGTTTTTTCTAATCATTATGAGATGTATTCTTATATGTAGTTTAGTAGCTCCTGTTTCTAAAAAGCAGAGTTTCCTGGCCTTGTACTTCTCTGATCGTTAATCCATAAAAATATTATTAAGCTATTATTTATCTGAAAAGTTTGCCCACTACAAATAGCTGTTTTTATCATTATAATTATAATACCTCATATTTCTAGATCTTTGCAGTTTACAAAATACTTTACTAATAACCCTTTGAGGTAAGTAGTATATGTACTAGTATACCCACTTTACAGATGACGAAATTAAGGCTCAGAGAGTTGTTACTTGCCTGACTCGCAAAATATGTATGTAAGTAAATGAACTGGGACCTGAATTGTGGGTGTCTTTCTAATGCAACACCCTCCTTAGTTTCCAACTACAGCATGGTAGACCAAATATGTGCTTGGATAATGAAAACTTTTTTTTATGTATATGTTGTTTACCTCCCCCAAATCTCCTCTCCTTTCCTCCCCTCCCAACACAACTAGTAGAATATCCTTAGGCAGGAACTGTTTAACTGTTTCATTTTTGTTTTGAGGCGCACACGCATGTGTGTGTGTGTGTGTGTGTGTGTGTGTGTGTGTGTTCGATTCCAGTACCTAGCACAATGCTTGGCAGCTAATAGGGGCTTAATAAATGTTTGTTGATTATTATTTTCACTACAAACCCAATAGGGATTATTTCTGATGGCCTGGGAAATGAGCATTTCTCCAATCAGTAAACTTAGGGACAAGGTTACCTCTTCACAGCATTGGCAACTTATCATCTCTTTAACTTTTAGTCTTTCAGCTTTAACATCATCATCTTCATCTTCACTGTTAGGCATTTCCAGAAACTTCCTATTTTTGAGTTTAGTTGAAAAGGTTCTACATGTACATAAAGGAACAATATGAGATTTCAAGTCATGAATATATTAGAAAATTTACATTCCCAAGTTAGCACCAGTAATTTTCATCTAACAATTACTTCATTTTTTAAACTTGAACTGACCTGAAAAATGGATCTTTTCTTACTGATCTGCCTCCATATTTCTTCTCAAAATATTGTAATAAGAAAATCCACAGCACACACTGCAAATAAGGCTATAACAAACAAACAAATTCTAAGAACTTATTATTAAATTCTTTGGCATTTCATGTACTATGAAATAAAATGCAAGTAAGTCTGGTTCCTTCTCCAGTCAAACAACTATTCACACAACACTCTGGTATTCACATATGATTAAAAAAATTGAAGTAATACTAATTCAAAAGGAACTAAATAATTTACAACATGCAGTACTTCACATTTTCTCAGAATTGTTAAGAATGAAGTTTCCTGAGAAAATGTTAAGTAATGCTTGTTGTAAATTTCATGAGAAAAGTTTATTTTATTGTACATAAATAATTGAGTATGTAATAATTTTGCATATAAACAATTCAATATAACTGAAATAAAACTAAACAAGTTGAGTCTTCTTTTAGCCTATAAGTAGTCAATTGTGATCAAAAGGCATTAATGATACCATTAACTAAAAATGACCACATAGTGAATAAGTAAACAGTATCAAGACCCAAAATCATCTTTCTCAGGATTAATTAGCATTCTTGGATTTTTTTCTGAGATCAGAAATTTAACAAAGAAGCCTTTTCTTAATGAAATATATGTAGGAAATTAAAGTATCACCATCCAAGCTTGACCCTGGTTTGGTAAGCAGATAGTTTCAAGTAGTCTAACTATCAAACTGTCATCTTTCATAGACACTAATTTATTTGGGAGTGAAGGAATCAGATAATACTTTAAAAGTTATGGTTATAAGTCCAAAGTGTGCTAAGAAAACATACAACTGCAAAGAACTAAACGGATTCTTACCGATAAAACAGCTATTAAAAGCCTGTCCCATGGATTATAACTGCTTTCATTTTTTTGCACATTCTTCCATGAAATCTAACATAAAAAATTAAATCATTAAACATGTGTTTCACAGGAGAAAATCAAATTATGATTAAAGTTAAAGAAAGATATTTCTTTCAATAATAAATATTCCTTTTCTAGCACCAAGTCAGTTCTTATGATTTCATTTATACACATACATGATTTCCCACTGTATTTCGGCAAAGTCTTCTTTTTGGGGTGATCTAAATCCATGCAATGTTTCCTAAAGCATTTTTGTCAATTAAAGACAGGAAAGGTGACCAATTAGAGGTAGAACTACTAAGTGATTAGTATATAGTTAATCACTGGTCTACTAAGATAGAACCCATCATCATTTTTTTTTTAATCAAGTGACCCAATCTTTTTAGATACTCATTCTTTAGAAGGATTAATAAATTTCCCTCTTTCCTAAAACCCCTTTATGCTTTATTTCCTCCCACCCCAATTCTGGATATTCTACCATTTAGTCTTGACTTCACATTTTTAAAAAATCTTTAAAATGATGTTCCTTCCTCCTTGTGACAATATTGACTTACCTAATAAACATGACGGAACATGAAAAACATGCTCCTCATTAAAGAGCTTTCATTCTAAAGGGAACAGGTATTAACTGGCTATATTACTAATGTCTAGGCAAAGGAGAAAAAAACCCCCCAATATTCATTAAAGAATCAAATTCCAAGATTTTTCAAGTTTTCATTAAATATATATAGACTGATAGATAATAAACTTACCTTTATAAAACTGATCAAGCACCCTAAGAGTGGATAGATTGGATTGATTATGCAGAGAGTATAATGAAGGACAGCTGTCACTGTGTGGTATCTCATAAAGAAAGTTATTTCAGTGACTGCAATGGAAACCAAGGCCATCTAAAAAAATTGAGAAAATAAATGGAAATATCCTTAGACATTTCAACTACACTCAATTAAATATATTCTCTTCCCATTCTTGATAAAATTGTTAACAGTGCAGATAAACAGACGTGACAAATGACTCAAAACAGGATGCCACCACAGCACATATTTTATTCTTATGAAGATTTGAATGCAATAAATGACTTTTAGGACTAGAAACATGAGAAAACTGAGAATTAACAGACTTTTGTAAAGCAAAGTAAAATACAACTTACCACTGAGTAGATAAATGACCAAAACTCTTTAGTATTTAAAACTTTTCTGAAGGTGAAAGATGCGACATAGGTAAAAAGAATAACAGACGGTACATAACCAATAAGGCAAAAAACCTGCAAGAAAAAGAGAGGGGCGTGCTTTATGTAAAAAATATCAATAGCCAGAAAAATTTATGTGCAACACAGAGTGCCACAGTCATATTTTATTTATTTATTTTTTGGTGAGATAATTGGGGTTAAGTGACTTGCCCAGAGTCAGACATCTAGTGAGTGTTATTTGTTTGAGGCCGAATTTGAACTCAGGTCCTCCTGACTCCTATGCTCTATCTACTCCACCACTTAGCTGCCCCACACAGTCACATTTTAAAAGAGCAAAAATATCTACTTGTTACACTGTGCTGCTTGGCTTCTGAAGAAATAAGAACACAGACTCTTGATAATTTAAGATGGAATGTGTCACCTTTCTCCTTATCTATTATACATCTAGGTTTTAAGTCTTTAATGTAATTATGTAGAGTATTAGGTTAGCAAGTTCTTTGCTAATCACCATCATTAGTCTGCTTTTCCTTTACCTTATGAAGTCTGTAACTTCTCAACAGGACTCCTAAAGTAAGAGACAATCACTTCCACCTGAGGGAAAATCTAAACCAATAATTTTATGCTTATGCAGGGGTTAGTTCTTTGCAGTTGTCTGAGATTTTCATCATGGAGAGCAAGGATTTGGGGGCTAGTCCTTGCTGTGTAATCTTATTACTGTTTTGGAGAATTATGACTTCCTAAAATAAACCTACATTCAAATGAAATACAAAAGTATATTGCATAGCCATATGCAAATGCATTTTCCATTATCCTCATGACTAATACACTTTCACTAACTTAGATAACTGAGAGATAAGTGAACTTATCTGCTTGAAGTAGGATTATAGGATGTAAAGCTGGAAAACAGCTAAGAGGTCATCTAGTTCAACTCTCCTTATTCTACAGTCGAGGAAACTGAGGCCCAGACAGTAAGTAACTGAGCTATGTAACCAAATTTGTAACCAAATATAATGTGCTTTCTCTTACACTTGGGGTGGGGAACCTGTGGCCTTAAGACCACATGTGACCTTCTAGGTCCTCAGGTGCAGCCCTTTGACTGAATCCAAACTTCACAGAACATATCGCCTTAACAAAAGAATTTGTTCTATAAAACTTAGACTCAGTCAAAAGGGTCACACCCAAGGACCTAGAGGGTCACATGTGTCCTTGAGGATGCAGGTTTCCCACCCCTGTCCTACACAGAGATGCACTATTAATCAAAGTTAGCAGGAAACAAAGCACAAAGTCAGTAAGAAACAAAATAGTCATTGGTAACCTCCAAAAGAAAATAAGACTTCTAATGCAAGTCTGTAATACTGAATAAGTTGTGTGAATTTCACACTACTTTCATTTCCTCCTCCATAATATAATATAATTTGCTGATCAGTACATTAATTGTTGGTGTCAAATTCATCTTTATTAATAAAAACCTGGAATTGTATTTGCTTAGGAGTTTGAAATAAATTACTTAAGTGTTCCTCCTCACCTTGCCAGCCCCATGAAAATTTAGCCTTAAGCAAAATTATCAAGCAGTTAAAGTTTGTTTTTAATCCTCCAACCTTCCTTTCCTACAAATCTTTTCTCACCTTTGACATCAGACAATTGTAGCCTTTTGCTCTATTTGCTATATTATTCTTCCTACCACCACAAAAAAATTCATATAGTAGTTGACATTGGTAGAGCCATTATGTTTTGGGCATGACCTATGACTTCATTCTCCTGGTGAGGAAACCTGTTTTCCCAACACAGGTCAGCAATTACTCTGCCACTTATGGCCTTTGAGTTGCCTGAGACTGGAGAGATTAAATGACTTGCCCAGAGTCTCACAGGCCATAAGTAAGCCTAGGGCTTGAATGCTGGTCTTCTAGACTCTTAGGCCTCTGTCCACTACACCATACTACCTCTCATTTAGCCATTTAAGGTTTGAAAATCATTTTATATACATTAGCTCTCAAGAGAGAGGTAGCCTTGGAGCCAGGGAGACCTAGGTTCAAATCTTGGCTCTGACACAGACTAGCTATGTGCCAGCAAAGTCACATAACCTCTCAGGGCTCTAGGAAATTCTCTAAGACTATAAATATTGCCGGAAAAGTACTGTGTTGCACTGGTAGAGAGAATTTCCTCCCCTAAAAGTTTCCAAAACAATGAAATCACAGTCCATTCTTAACCCTCCCTCTCTAAAGTAGGCAATACAGGTATTAGTATCCATGCATTACAAATGAGGACACTGGGAGCCATGCCTGTATGGCTAGTCAGTGCTGGAGCTGAATGTGAACCCAGGTCCCTTCTGACTCCAAGTCCAGCACTCTTTCCTCTAAAGTTCAGTGTCTCATTTTTTCAAATATTAGTGTAAATTTAAATCATCTGAATACTTCTTCCAGGAATATTTGCATTTTAGACCTTATTTTATTATGAAATGGTGACTTTTCAGCTGGTGAGATACATTTCAAAAAGTAGGAGAAGGGATACAGGAAACCACTCACCCCTACAATCATAAAGTGTAAGTTAAAAACTATGTGAAAAGGTGGCCCTATCCTTGATAATCATTTTGTAGAACTATAAAATACGATCACTTATTAAAAAGCATATATTATTACCTAATTGTATGTAGTAGTATGCTAGGCACTATGTAAGGAGAACTATACAGACCTACCTAACTATTGTTTGCTCTCAAGAAATTTACAATGATGATTATTTCAACTCCTCAAAATCTCACTAACACACATACTGGCTATGCTAACTGATAATGGCCAGGATATTTTATAGATATGGTTATTAAAACAGAATAATTTGTAAATCCTCCACTACATCCACCTACTAGTGACCTTGTGCTTTAAAGGAACACAATTTTAGTAAGATTTGCCACACTATCCTGCTCAGCCACAGACTGAGTACCTGCTGTCTGCAGACCACCTTGGCTAAATGAAATGCATTTTTTCTGGCGGAGGTTTTGGAGAAGGAGGAAAAGAGAGGGTAAAGATTAAATGATCTAGGCTGGTGAATAACTATACATAAAAAAATTGTAGAACTTCCAAAGTATTGTTTTAAATTATACAAATACAAACTGAAATATAAAAGACATTAACTTACCACAGAAAGGAACTTCAGAGCATAAAAATAAACTCCATAGTGAAATGCAAATAAACTTCCTAGCATCAAGACAAGAAGAACAAAAAATAAGGGAAAGTCAATTAGAGCTTGTCCAGTCCAATAGGCAGATGGAAAAAGACCTGAAATCTTCAGCTGGGTATACGATTTGATCTATAAGAAAGGGGAGAAAAACCAAACAAATTATCCTGAATACAATTAAAATTATACACACACACACATATAAAATGGTGAACCACCGAAATAATCTAAACATAACATAAAAAATACAAAAGTCATTTGCCTATCTATCTCTCCACCCCCACCTCCTCATATGCAAGTTAAGGAAAATTCCCACCACCACCAAAACAAACAAACAAAAAAAATGTACAATTTAACATTAAGCCACCAACTTGGCTTATATTTCTTGTCTTTAAGAATTTCAACAAGTCTTCAAGAACAAAAAGACTATTAAAATCACAGTATGCTAGGCCAAAATGAAATTGAAAACAGCAAATTATCAGGTGATTTGAGTACATTCTACACAGAGAATGTGTGTAAGACCAAACTAAGGTCATTAGTTTTCTCAAACTCAAACTTTATGTTCTTAAACATTAAAAAAAATATATAAATATCTAATATTTCTGTTCTAGGGAAGTTCTGAGAGACAATAAACCTTGAAGTAGTGAGAAACCAGCATGTTTTATGAAAAAAAGGCAAAGAGGAAAATTCAGTAAGGAAAAATGAACAACTTTTCAACTCATAAAGTTAACAGTTCACCTGACCCTTCATTATTTTATGTGAAATGACAAATTTCAAAATACTTACATTCAAATGAACGTATAAAAAGACATCATGAAGCCAAATAAAAAATGACTTGCAATTTTGCACAGTGTCTGTCACATAGTAGGTGCTTAATAAATGTTTATTGACTATCTGTACTCATTTCCAATGAATAATTTAATTTATTATATTGTTATTCATAAAAAGGCTTAAGAGGGGGAGATTTAGAATTGTTGGGGGGCAGAGAGGGGAATGTCTCTAACTGTAATCTCTTACACCTATTCTAAACAACCCATTAGTTCCAAGTGTAGCACCAGCTTGATTATTACTACCAAAACTGCCACTACTAAAACAAAGAGAAGTCCTGATCTATCTCTGGCCACTAGACCCAGATGGCTCTGGAGGAGAACGTGAGGCTGGTGACTTTGCACAGCCCTCCCTCACTTAAGTCCAATTTACTTGCATATCATGGCATCACCTCCCTGATGTCATGGTCCTCTTTGAGAATGGACAAACAGCAACTAAAGACTTGAGAATTAAAAGAAAACTTACAGTATAAAATTTTTGGTCAAAGAAATTTTATAATGCAAAAGTTGTTTCCAAATCTATTTTTATAAATTCAACTTTTGTATGTTGTATATAAGCAATATGAATATGCAATTCATTTTTTAAAAAAGTATTTACATTACCTTATGATTTTCTGCATTTTCCATGGCAAAGTAGGGTGGCATTGCAGTCACAATGATCCCAAGCAGAGCTGCTTGAAAATACAGCTCAATTCTAAAAACTATGTCAGTAATTTCCTAAAAGAAAACAAAAAAAAGATAGACTCCAAAGTAACTTTATACCATCCTAATACCTTTTCTTTTAAAGCATTAAAAGCACTAAGTAACACATAAAAATATATATTAATGATAGGATGTAGTAGAAAAAAAATTAGGAGGCTGATTAGGAAATCTAGACTCAAGTCAAAGTTGGGCTACTGATTGGCTGTGTGACCTTGGGTAAATCCCTTAGTTTCTGTTTCAGTGAGTATGGAATAAAGATAAGAAAATGAATCTGTCAAACCTACTTCACTCCATTATTGTGGAAGATGACATATGCTTCACTTAAGTGAGTCAACATGCACATTCTGAGAAAAGGACCACATGGGCATTGGGCCAAAGAGGTGGAGGGTGAGCAGTTGCAGAGGATGTTGAAATATATAAAGCTGAATAAATGTTGGAGGAGACAGATAATAACAAGAGTATGGTGTGAGTATAAGTCAAGCAGAATCTAATAGAAAACAAAAACAAATGAACAAGAAATTGCAAAAGTGCAGGAACATAGGAATTCAGATATATGTGGCTCTCTAATTTTCCCTTTCTCTTTGGCTATGAAAAGTGTGAACTTTAGGTATAAAAAAGAAATTAAAATGCTGAAAAAAAAGCACTGATCTGAGAGGTGGAGCCAAGATGGTGGAATAGACAAGGCACAATAATTGAGTTCTTCCAAAATTCCCCTCCAAACAATTTTAAAATAACACTTCAAATCAAATTCTGGAGCAGCAGAGCCAACGAAAGGTCCAGGTGAGACATTCTTCCACCCCGAGACAATGGAGGAGGTCTCAAGAAGTGATTTGTGACATGGGAACAGAAACCGACACAGAGCCCACATAGATACAACACCAGCGGTAGCACCTGGGGATGGCGATAGCAGCAGCAGCAATAGCAGCAGTTTTGGAAGTGAAGGGGACAGGGCGATTGGTCAGAACGAGATTACATGGGATCCCTGTTTAGCGCTAGGTGTAGGACCAGACGCTGTTTGGCAATTCCATTGCCTACACCCACTCCCAGGTCAGGTTGAAGGGCAGAGAAGACCACTTTCAGTCATGAGGAAGCAAGGGCCCTGAGCAGCAGTATCAATAGAGATACTCAGGAATAAGAGGCCCTTTCCAGATAAGAACCAGAGCACGGATCAGGGAAAGCAGTGACTGCACCTCTCCCTGGACCACATCATCTTGGAACCACCAAAAACTTCCAAAGCCCCAGAACTAGCTCTGAAAACAGCAGTGCAATAAAGCTTGAAGCTTGCAACAGTTCCACCTTCCCCCCCACCCCTACCTGCACAGAGACAACTTTAACATAATAAAGTCAAGAAACAGTCAACAAAAAGAACTTGACCATTAAAAAGCCATTTCAGTGACAAGAAAAGATCAAGACATAAATTCAGAAGAAGATGAGGATGTCAAAATAGCTACAAGCAAAGTCTCAAAGAAAAAATCTGAATTGGACACAAGACTAATAAGAATTCCTGGAAGAGCCAAAAATGAATTTTCAAAATCAAATAAGAGTGGTAAAGGAAAAATTAGGTAAAGAAATGAAAGCAAGGGAAGAAAATTATGAAAAGATAACTAACAGCTTGGTAAAAGAAGTATATACATACACACACACACACACACACATATAGATATAAAACAACTAAAGAAAATAACACCTTAAAAAAACAGGATTGACCTAATGGTAAAAGAGGCACAAAAATTCACTGAAAAAAAAAGAACTCCTTAAAAAGCAGAATTGGCCAAATGGTTTAAAAAAATAAAAGTACAAAAGCTCACTGAACAAAGTAATTCTTTAACAATTAGAACTGGGCGAAATGGAAGCTAATGACTCCAGGAGATATCAAGAAACAACAAAACGAAGTTAAAAGACTAAAAAAAAAAAAAAAATTGAAGAAAGTGTGAACTATCTCATCAGAAAAACAACTGATCTGGAAAACAGACTGAGGAGAGATAATTTAAGAATTATTGAACTACCTGAAAGCCATGATCAAAGAAAGAGCCTAGACATCATATTTCTTTTTTGTTGTTATTTCAAATTCCTCTTTATTTTTTTTACATGTAAAAAACAATTAACATTCTTTAGTTCTTTTTTTTTTAAGTTTTGAGTTCCAAATCCTATACCACCCTCCCTCCCCTCTCTCTTCCCTGAAATGGTACGCAATCTTACACAGGTTATACACAGACATATTTCAACATAAAGGAAAAGTACCCTGATAGCTTAAACAAGAGGGTAAAATAGAAACCTAATGAATCCACTGAAAGAAATCCCAAAATGTAAACTCCCAGGAATATCATAGACAAGAGAAGCCAAGTCAAACAGAAAATACATTAAGCAATCAGAAAGAAATCATTCAAATACTGTGGAACCACAGTCAAGATCACATAAGAATTAGCAGCTACCACGTTAAAGGAAAGGAATACTTAGAATATGATATTCTAGAAGGCAAAGGAGCTACAGTTATAACCAAGAATAACTTACACAATAAAACTGAGTATAATCCTTCAGAGGGAAAAAATAGACATTTAATGAAATAGAAGACTTTCAAGAATTCCTGATGAAAAGACCAAAGAAAATAGAAAATTTGACTTTCAAATACAAGTCTCAAGAGCAGCATAAAAAGGTTAAAATGAAAGAGAAATCACAAGGGACTTAATAAACTGTTTACATTCCTATATGGGAAGATGATACCTGTAACTTCTAAGAACTTTATCATTATTAGGACAGTTAGAACAAGTCTATTGTGTTGAGGTGATCTAAAAAAACATGCATGGGTGAGAAAAAAGGATGCACTGGAAGAAAGGTGAAGGCAGAGGAAGAACGGGAAAAATCATCTCACTTTATGTGAGATGGAGAACATGAGGAAGAGCTTTTAAATCAGAGGTAAAAATGTGGGGGGTGGGTGGGGGCTACTGACACTCAAACCTCATTCTTATCTAGAATGTTTCACAAAAGGAACACATACACACATACACTCACTAGGACATGGAATATACCTTACCCATCGGGGAAGGAGGAGGGAAAGGAGATAACAAAAAGGAGGGAAGAGATAAAAGAGAGGACAAGTAAAGGAATGCAACGGTGAGAAGCAAAGAAGACTTTAAAAGAGGGACAAGAAAGGGAGGAAGATAAAAAGGAAAAGCTACGATGGAGGGAAACCCACAGTTAATTATTACAGATGTGAATGGGATGAACCGACCCATAAGACAGAAGCAGATGGCAGAATAGATTGGAGACCGGAACCCAACAAGACGTTCTTTACAAGAGACACACTTGAAACACTGAGAGTTAAAAAATAAGAGGCTGGAGCGGAATCTATACACCTCAACTTAAGTAAAAAAGGCAGGGGCAACAACAATGATTTCAGACAAAGCAAAGGCAACCCCCTTCCCCAACTAAAAGAGATAACCAGGGAAACTACGTCTTGCTGAAAAGCACCATAGACAATGAAGTAATATCAATATTAAGCACAGATGTACCAAATGGTATAGCGTCCAAATTCCTAAAGGAAAAGTTAAATGAGTCACAAGAGGAAACAAACAAGAAAACTACACTGGCAGGGAACCTCAATTTTCTCCTCTCAGAGTTAGACACAGCTAAACATAAAATAAGAAAGAAGTTTAAGACAAACAGAATTACAGAAAAGTTAGATATGATAGACCTCTGGAGAAAATGGAATTGAAATATTAAGGAGTATACCTTTTCTTCAGTTGGATGTGGCACCTTTACAAAAACTGACCACGTAGGAGGGCATAAAAACCTCACAAAGGCAGAAAAGCAGAAGTACTAAATGCATCCTTGTCAGACCATAATGCAATAAAAATTATTTAATAAAGAGCTGTGGAAGCATAGATTAAAAATTAGTCAGAAACTAAATGATCTAATTCTAAAAAATGAGTGTATCAAAGAACAAATCACAGAAACAACAATTTCTTTAAAGAGAATGACAACAATGGGACAATATTTCAAAATTTGTGGGATGCATCCAAAGCAGTACTTAGGGGAAAATTTATATCTTTAAACACATACATCAATAAAAGGGAAAATGAAGAGATCACTGAATTAAGCCTGCAACTAAAAAAAAAACCCAAAAAACTAGAAAAAGAACAAATTTTAAATCCCCTATTAAATGTCAAAATGAAAATCAAAGGAGAGATTAATAAAATTGTAAGTAAAAGATCCATTGAACTAATAATAAAACTAGGAGCTGGTTTTATGAAAACAATCAATAAAAGATTGGTCAATTTGATTAAAGAAAGAAAAAAATAAAAAATGAAGAGGGTGAATTTAGCACCAATGAAGATGAAATTAAAGCAATTATTAGGAAATAATTTGCCCAATTATACACCAATAAATCTGACAATCTAAGTGAATATTTACAAAATATAAATTACCCAGATTAAAATAAGAGCAAATAGGATACTAACCCTATCTTAGAAAAATAAATTGAATAAGTCATAAATGAACTCTTTAAGAAAAATATTACCAGGACCAGATAGATTCAGGAATTCTACCAATCATTTAAAGAACAATTAATTTCAATACTATGTAAACTATTTGAAAACAGACTAAAGGAGTCCTGCCAAACTCCTTTTATGACACAAATATGGTTTTGATACCTAAACCAGGAAGAGCAAAAACAGAGAAAGAAAACTATAGCCCAATTTCCCTAATGAATATCAATGCAAATTTTTAAAAATAAAATACTATAAAGAAGATTATAGCAAATATATCAGAAAGATCATACACTATGACCAGGAATGCAGGGCTCAACACAGGAAAACTATAAGCATAACTGACCATAAAATAACAAAACAACAAAAATTATGTGATTATATCAATGGATGCAGAAAAAGACTCTGATAAAATAGATCACCTATGCCTATTAAAAACACTAGAAAGCATAGAAATCAATGGAGCCTTTTTTAAAATGATAAGTAGTATATATCTAAAACCAAGAGCAAACATATCCGTAAAGGAGATAAACTAGAAGCCTTCCCAATAAGATCAAGGGTGAAGCAAGAATGTCTATTATCACCATTATTTTTCAATATTGTACTAGAAATGCTAGCTATAGCAATAAGACAAAAAAAACCTGAAGAAATAAAAATAGGCAACAAGGAAACAAAGCTATCACTCTTTGCAGATGATGAAAAGGTATACCTGGAAAATCCTGGAGAAGTGAGCAGTCATGAAAACAATTGATACAATAACAAAAACATTTTAAGACAACTTTGAAAGACTTAAAAAATCTGATCAATGTAGTAATTACCCACAATTACAGTAAGACCAATGATAAAGCACGCTACTCACCTCCTAACAAAGCAGTGATGAACTCAAGATGAAAATGAGACATATATTTTTGGATATGACTAATGCAGGAATTTGCTTTGCTTGACCATGCATATTTGTTACATGGGTTTTTGTTTTCATCTTGGGTCCTCCTTCCCCTGCCCCCCAATTTAGGAGGGGAGAAGGGAAAGTGGAGTTTTACTAATTAAAAAAACTACGTAAAAATAAAGTCATCATTGCAAAAACATTCGAGAGTTTCTTTAATTTTTCCAAGAGCTTTCCTGAATCCCTTGATATTCAAATAATTCTTTTTTGGAGAACCTACTAACAAGTAGGTAGAAACTGACAATTAGGGAAGAGACTGACCAATAGAAAATGACCAGCAAAGACATTAATATGATGTCTAGGAACTGATGCTTAGTGTTAAGGAAGGAATGGAGCCTAATTTTATAAATGGTCATACAACTATTTCTAATTATGTGTATTTTTAATTATTTTCGTTTTTTGATACTTTTTGCTTCCTACAGCCTTGTAGAGAGGCAACATGACACAATGAAAAAAGATGGTCACAGAGTCAAAAACTTGAGTTTAAGTCCAGCCTCTGACACCTACTAGTTCTTTGACCTTGGACAAATCACTTAACCTCTCAGTGTTCCAGGAAAGTCCCTAAGATATATAAGAGTTATTGATCTGCCAGGGTAGAAGGCTTCTTCCTTATCAGAAACTCCATACATCAGTGAAATAACAGAACAACAAAACAAAAAAAGTAAAACAAAATGGAACGTTGTAATTGTGGGGACTTGGGACACTGACTATTCAGATAACAAGAACCCTTGCACTGAGAGATATTAGAATGGGGTATCAAATTATTTTGTAGAATGTCTTGTCCAAATATTTTTCAGTCAGTTCTGATGGCTTAGACACTTATAGTTTTGTCTTTTTTACTTATAGTTTTGACTACATGGACTTCATAATACTAGGATTGTAGATAAAAAAGATAACATTCACCTTCAAATAAAATTGTATGAAATTTCCTGTAATATTTATCATCAAAGCTATTTAAGTTATATGTGAAATCTCAGGAAGCAGCATGGTGTACAACATAGAGAAGCTGGCCTTGGAGTCAGGAAAACCTGGGTTCAAGTGGTCTCTTATGCCCAGTAGTTAGAATATATGAGCAAGTCTCTTAAATATTCAGTGCCTCAGGCAATCCTCTAAGACTTATTGACTACTTGCTGACAGATATTGGTGGAGTGGGTTTCCACACCTAGTTTCCCACACTGATGTAATCATAGGTCCAGACCGAAAAAAAAAAGGGGGGGGAAGGGGGACATCTTATTATAAGAGTAACACTATTCCCTTTGATTCCACAGTCAACTTATATTGAGAAGACCAGAAGTTACAGAATGTCACCACAGTAGGGTATCACTGCACACACAAACTGAAAGATATCATATTTTGTTGAAACATGAAGATATAATACTGAAAATTCACTGGTAACTGTAGACTAGGACTTTCAAGCAGTGTTTCTGATATTAAACATATTTTCCCTATATTCTTCTACTTTAACATCCATTCTATGATTTCTAATGTTAGTAACTAAGTCCACAATATTTGGTTAGAACCTGCAGTCAACTTACCTGAAAGAATGGCGTGCTCCAGATCTGGATATTTTCTGTCACATTTAAATGATAAAGAATAGAATTGCTAATAACATTCATCAGTACTGGTAGAGAATAAATCATAGTACTATTGAAAACAGTTACAAACATGTAGTCCTACAACAAAAGAGAAAAATAATTACTAGAGTGCAATTAATTTTGTATTTTATTGTAACTGATATTAGAGAATGAATCAGTACTACTGAAAATAGTTATAAACTTGTCTTACAACAAAAGAGAAAAATAATTACTACAGTGCATTTGATTTTATATTTTACTGTTACTGATAGGCTGCTTTGTAACTATTATTACATTCCACATATCTTTCTTTTGACTCTCCAAATATACCTTAAGATAGTTTGATAGCTCCTGGCCTTGGTACTTATACTTTCCTGACTGACACTAAAAATAGTTTAATTTTGAAGACAGAACCTTGAGTCATAAAACTGAAAGCTTATCTAAGAGATCTATGTATATTTAGCAAATGTAAAATGGAAATTGAAAGACAGTTGATGCCCTTTACTGTGTGATGCCTTTTGGTTACATTTTAAGAAGAGATACACACAGCTTAATATTTCTACATTCTCAAAAGTAAAATTCAGTTTTTAATAACCACATTCAATTGGCTAGCGACTAGTTTTAACATAATTTTGGTATTTTACACTAGAGAAGCTGAGCTTCATCAACAAAAATTAATATATAGGTACCTATAGAATAGATACAGATACACATACACACTTTATCCATATATGTTTCTCTTACCTTTCCTGAATGCATTACATTTAAAGCCGCACTGTGAGGAGCAGCAGATACATAGTCACTGACATTTAACAAATTCACCAAGATGTTCTGACTTGTGAAGAAACTTAGGAGGTCATCAATATCAGCGTCTGGCATAAAGGAATAAGAAAACACCAATGTATTGACTACTTCAGGTGAAAAAATAATTACACCACCACAATCAAAAGTGATTTTTTTTTTCTTTAAGCAGAAAATTTCAAGCATTTTGTCTTTTCATCATTCTACACAATCCCCTATGGTTTTAATAATCAGTTCTATCTATACAGAAGACTTTCAAACCTAATGTTTACTCCTCAAATTCCCAATGTACTTCATTCCCAACATCCCAAATACCTATTGATCATCTCCACCTGGCTGTTCAATTGTCACTTCAAAACTTAAGTCATCACATTTTTCCATGTTCAAAACTTAACTCATCACCTTTTCCATGAAAACTTTTCCCTATTCCTATCTTTTCCATTTCTCTCAATAATATTCCCAGTCACCCAGATTCTTGACCTTGTTGTCACTTCTATCTCTTCCCTCTCCTAAATCCATAATTCCCTAAATCATATATATGCTATAATTTCTAAACCATAATTCCATCTAAACCTGTATTCAATTATTTACCAAGTCTGTTGATCTGAGGTTCATTGGATTATAAATTTAGAGCTATAACGGATCTTAGAAGTCATCTAGCACAACCTTCCCTCCCTTCTCCCCCATTTTATTGATGAGGAGACTGAAGTGCAGAAAGGGTAAGTAACATGCCCAAAATCACAGAGCAGGGAAGGAGCAGAGATGAGATTTGAAACCAGGTCTTCTTTCCACAATATTGCCTCTCATACTATTAACACACTAGTTCAGACTCAAACTAGTTCACTACTCATACTACCAATACACTAGTTCAGACTTTCCTAACCTGAACTATTCTGTCTCTGGTCTCTCTCCTCATTCCAATTCATCCTGTACACTGCTGCCAAAACGACCTTCCTAATAACTTCTGACTACCACTTCCTTGCTCAAAAAACTGTTACTAGCTCTACTGGCTTCCCATCACTTACTGGACACACACAGCACAACAGTACCTTTGAATGACATTCAAACCCTGCAATCTGACTCAAACCTAACTTTTTGGCCTTATTTCACACTTCAAAAACTCTATATTCCATACAAAATGAACCACTTGCCATTCCGCAATCCTGTCCAGCCTTTCTCTGCCTTCAAGCTTTCACTTAGGTTATTCCCATGGCTAAAATATACTCCCCTTCCTCATGTCTACCTGCTGAAATCTTTTCTTCCTTCAACGCCACACTCACGATACCTTTTCTATGAAACCTGATTCCCTAGGTTCAATATTCCTCTTACAATATGGAATCTTTCCTTTGTTTTTACCACATTCTATTTTTTCTTATAATTATTCGTGTACATTCCTCATCCCCACTCTTGTACTGTTAGCTCCTAGACGGTAGTGACCATGTCATTTTTCATCTCTGTGTCCTGAAAACAGTGACCATAACAGATAATACGTAAATATCTGCTGAGCTGTATGAGGCAAGTTAAATCTCTTCTGCTAATTAGCATCAGGAGCATAATAATTTGGTCACAAAAATTTAGATTTTCTTAAAATTAAAATTCCTATCAAGAAAGAAACATTTTTGATATATATATAGTCTTCATCACCATAGATGATCTAAATATAAACAAGTTCTCCAAGTACCATAATTAAAGGGTTAGGGATAGCTCAAGCTATCAAATGACAGTGGTGAAAAGTACAACATTAGAAAGAAAGTAGGGAAGAAAACAGTTCTAAATTTTTTAGAGTTCTTTCTAGTGCAGGAATCTTTGAAAATTACAATATTAACTATGCCATTTGCTGGTCACCAAAAGCCAGAGAGATAGAAAAACTGTACCATTTAACACCACAATAAAATCTTAATAAATAATATAATATCTATTTGAAACTCTAGTTTGATCATGTCATTCCTTTGCTTGAGAAATTTGCTACAGCCTCTAGAATAAAATTCTGACTCCTCTCTCTAACATTCAAAACCCTTCACAATCTAACAATTCCAACAACTCTTCACAATTCCAAGTAATCTTTCCAGATTACTGTCTCTCAAATACTCTTGGAACTGACAAAATTGGTCCATTAGATATTCTTGATAACATTCCATCTCTTACATCTTTGCCTTTGCATGAGCTATCACTCATGCCTAGAATGCTCTCCTCTCTCATCTCTACTTCTTGAAATTTCTGGCTCCATTCAAGGTTGATCCCAAACTCAACCTAATCACATAAGGCTTATCATGATTCCCCTGAGTACTAGTGCCTACTGCCCAAAATTATCTTTTCAAATATATGTATGTATATACATATATACATACATATGTGTGTATATGTATATACACACACACACACAGTCAATTACATACATGTTGCCTTTAACCAACAATGTCTTTAATAGGACAACACCCATTTTGGGAATGAAAAACATATAAACTGAGAAGTGAAGAGTTTTTATATATTATAATAAACCACACAGTTTACTCTCTGTTATCCATGGTATATTAATTTAGCTATCAAAATTTTGTGCATACCATTATCTACTCTGCTCAATTTTGTATTTTATAAATGGAATTTGTCTTCATTCTAATCCAGCAGGCGCTGACAATTAAGATATTTTAAAACAAATAAAAATGCTTCTTTTTAACAGATATGAATAAACAAGTTTACAGGACTGTTATCAGTTCTGCTTTAGGAAGGCTGTGCACATGACTGAGAGGTATTACTTAGCATTCCTCATGCAGGCAATGGAAGCACAGATACAGAAGTACAGTGTTAGGCAATCAAACTTTTACAGTATTTTCATATTTTTTTAAATGAATAATAGTAATACCTTAGTTCTATGAAGGCCCCAAAACTATAATGGTGCTGAATCAAAAATTTAAATAAGAAAATTAACAAACAAATGGACAGACAGATAAGTACATCTCTCTAACAAAAAAACTCTATGCACTGAGCAACAACTGGAGTAGTCGAGAATAACTAAAGATCATAAAACTCAAAGTTTACATCCAACAAAATATAATTGCTTTGTTTGCTAAAAATAAGAAAAGGAGTGCCTTCATTATCTGATGGAAGGCACGTTAAGGTCCAAAGAATGAAATGAATAATTCCGCACTGGAAAAAAATTCTGAAAAACCAAAAATGACACTATTTTCTACCTCGTTTTTCACTTCTGTAGCCATTAAGGTTAAAAAAAAAAACTAAATAAACAAAAGTGGAAATGGGTAGAAGAAACAAGAAATTTTTAGAGCAAAAAAATAAAAAACATAGAAAAAATGAGAGTGCCAAAGGTTAGAAGCATGCAAAACATTAAAATTAGCAATACAGCCAACCAGTCAGTAAAGGCTTTGACGATAGAGAAAAGACAAAAAGAAATAATTTTAAGATACTTAGCCATCTCTCGAGTCATTACGGTGGCACAGAAGCACACCAATTATGTTATAAGAGAAAGCAACAGTACATACTCCAATATGTATTATACCCCAATACAATATCTAGAAGTATCAATAATGGCCCTGAGTCAGTAGGAGAACATTAAACTATATTTATTATATCCTGCATTAAAAAACAAAGTACCTAATATACTGCATTAAAAACTTCATAAAGAGTTAATTTTAAAGATTTTGTGCATAAAAATTAAAATATCAATTACCATGAAAATTTCGGCATTATAAAAAAATTAGATAATTCAAGCATTACTGTATTGTGACAGCAAATTTATTATAAGTACAGAAAATGTATTGGAATATGAAATAATTATAATACTATTATCATAAATAATTATATTAATTATAATTATATGCTATATAATTATGTTATAATCATATTAATGATATATAATTATATATAACATATTATAAATATAATATTCATATATAATACATAATTATGTTATATAATATACATATATTATATAATATATAATATACATATATTATATAATATATAATATACATATATTATATAATATATAATATAATAATAAATATATTGTGTATAATTATGTTGTAATTGTAATTGTGTTAATTATATATAATTAATTATAATTATATTAATTATAAGAGTGTTTACATATAAGATAAGCTGTCATATCTATATTTATATTACTCTTCATTATTAATAAAATTATTTAACTTTGTTTTAAATTATTTTGATTTTATGTTTAGTTCAAAATTTCACCTCAGAATATTTCAAGAATCTACCTGAACTCCAAATCTTACCAGTTGAGTTTTGAAGAAGAAGACCTGTTTTGTATTTGTGAGCTTTCTCTCCAGGTTTCAAAAAATATAAGTCTGGAGTAAGTTTGATGGGAGCAACAGTATTCTTAAAGTAATGATGAACCAAAAACATGAAAACCTGAACAGCAAGAAAAATTAAAAGCAGGAGCAACCTTTAAAAAAAAAAAAAGGTCTGTTAATTTAAAAGACTTGCAATGTTTTAAACAAATCCTTATTCACATGATACATACGAAGTCTTTAAAAAGGGAACAGATTGAGGCATTGACAGAAAGACCAAAAAAAAAAGCATACTGTATTCAGTTCTATGGAAAAATTAATTAATTTTTACAATTTCAACTCCAAGTACAAAAACTGAAGATGTGATATTGAAATTAAGCAATAGTAAAATGGAGATTTTTGAGTCAAATTAACTCTACACAGTTATTATATCATGTGAAAGTAGACTTTTATATATACACATACTTTGGTTTGGACAGTATATCACTGTTGATTCGAGAAATCTCAGAGTGATAAGTATGATTACCATAATGACTATAAATATCTTTACAATATGAAAACAAAGAGAAGAGTGCTGGATTTGCCTTATCTTATTTAAACATTAGCCTGGATTTCAGTATAAATTAAACAAGTAATGTCTACTGCCCATTGTTTGAGTTTTTCCTTGACATAGTCTCTTTTGCAAGAGATTTCAATGTCATGTTCTTGTCTTTGACAGGTTACCCCTCATCCTTGTGATGAACAAGGTTATAAGATATCACAAACCCATATCTCAGAACTGTGTACTCTATTATCCTGTACTTAGTAACAATTTGGAGTTCAGCCTAATGGATCCTGCTTTCTCACATTTACTTCATATATTATAAGCTATTAATGTATAAAATATATGTTTTTATCTATGAGAAAAAACCTCATAAATACATCATCTATACTTATCTCTAAATAATTAAATTAAATTTCTACTATTTTTTTAAAGAAACCATAGAAGGTAAATACAATTTGCATGGAGATTCTTAATAAATTTTACTTCATGAAGGCAACGTTTATAGACATGACACCTTGTGGACATTTGGTTGATGAGTACTATGACGTGAATAAGAGTTCACATTTATACAATGGTTTATGGTTTAGAAAGTGTTTTACTCTGTATTAGCAGCATCTTACTCATAAGGCAACTGAGGCTCAAAAGGTAAAGTAACTTATGCCCAGCTATTAAGTGTCAGAGCTGCAATATGAATCCACATGTCCTGAGTCCAAGTCCAGTCTTTTCCCACTATGCCACATTGTTTTCTAACTAAAAATACACTGAGAGTTCTGAGATATACATTGGAGATCTGGCTCTAACCGTGTATGCTTGATAAAATCTCTAAACTTCTCTGGGCTTCCATCACTTCTATTATCAAATAAAGATAATGGTAATTTCTTTATTTAACACACAGGATTGTTGTGAAGAAGATATGAGAAAAAAAGTATGCAAGTACTTTGAAAATGGTGAAGAAGCTATACAAATATAAATTGTGACAATGAAGAAGATCACAGAATATCTGAAGCACAGAATTTTGAGTTGAAGGTAGAGTGAGTGAGATCCCTTCATTTTACAGATGAAAGAAACGACAAAGATTACTAGTAGTCTATTAACTAAAGTAACTATAAGCACAGTAGTATTTTTGTTCATCTCTGGTACGATGTACTAGTAGCTATTTTAGGCTTTCAAAATTATATGAATCATTTTCTAAATGTGAAGATAAGTCAGTGTAAATCTCTTTTAAAAGATTAAACTAAATTCAGGCAGAAGAGATGATTATACTTACACAGATCTCAATGATTTACTTTCACGCTTCAAAGTAAGAAAATGAAGCTTTGTCATCATACACACTTGCTGCTTCCAAAGGGCCATAGTGCTCACTGTGGATGTTTTGGTTTCAGAGAGTATAAGCAGACTTTGCTCCATTTCGTCAAAAGATTTTGAATCTGTTTCTTCCTCTGATTGCTGCTGGCTAAATATACTATAATCTATATACCAAAAAGAAAAAGAAAAATTTATTAATGTTAAGTGGTATACTTCTCCCAAAAGTAAAAAGGTTTCTGTAATATACACCTTAGTGTGCATATAGAAAAATAAATTTACTTCCAATATCTATTTATCTTCAGCTGTCCCAAATCCAAAAACATTAATGTCAGATCTTTCAAATATTGATGAACATGAAGTTCTGCAGTGTTTAAAACACATATTTCTAAAATGATTACAATAAGTGCTTCAGTTAAAAAGTAAAATTACCAAATTATCCTTTAACCATTTATGATTAAATTGAGCAAGAAAGCTGAGGGATTTTTAAACCAAAGACTAATACATTATCTTTTTATTGTGAAATGCAACCTTAAAGTTTTAAGATGTGAGTACATAATCACTTTTACCACTATCTTCTAACTAAATAAACAAGTCTGTAGAGGGTACTTGAGGTATTTTCCCTCCAATAATTCTAATCATAGAAGAAGAGGCCTTACATGTTATAGAGTCCAACTTCTCACCCAATCTAATAAATTCATTCTATAGCATGCCTGACAAACACACAGACTGAGCTTCAATATTACTAGGACATATAGGGCTGCTAGGTGGGGCAGTAGATACAGCACTGGCCCTGAAGTCAGGAGGACTTGAGTTCAAATCCGGCCTCAGACCAAACACTTGACACTTACTAGCTGCGTGACCCTGGGCAAGTCACTTAACCCCAATTGCCTAAAAAAAAAAAATACTACTAGGGCATAAAAGTATCTTTTAATAGACTAACTAAAACTATGCCTTCTCCAGACCTTTCTAGTTGAAAATATCCTGGGTATAGATGGACAAATGATCTGGGAACAGTCTTCCTAAAGAAATAGAGGTATAGGGAAGTGGCTCAAGCAAACATCCTATATCTCCCGCTATCATATATTTATCAACTATAAAATAGTAAAACCACATTTCTATCAACATCATGATATTCATGCAGCACCACTACTTCCTCATTTCTACTTCTCAGAATCCCTAACTTGTTTCAACATGTAACTTAAATGCTATTTTCTGACTAAAGTCTGTCCTGATCTCCCAGTTGTTAGTAGTCTCTCCTTCTCACAATTACTTTGCATTTACTTATCTGTGCACACGTTGTATCCACCTAGCAGAATGCAAGCTGTCTTCAGGGCAGGGATTGTTTCATTTTGTCTTTGTATCTCCAGTGCTTAGCACAATGCTTTGCATATAATAAGTGCTTAATGTTTGTTAAACTGAATTGAATTTCTGGTTCTGAGTTATCAGAGAAAGTAAGGCTTTTTACCAGCTTGATCAATTTCTGCTTCAACTTCCAGCTTTAGGAACACATCTTCCAAAGTTGTCATGGAAACTCCGTAAGAAATAATTCCCAAATTAGAATGGGTCTCTAGATCAGAAAACAAGCCTAAAAGCAGAAATAAAAAATCTTGTTTGCTTAAATACACTAATCTCCCATTCTCTACAAATTTCTCTCAGAGGCAACACTATAAATCAGTCAGAACCTTAACCTGAAAATCTGACAACTGCTCTAAATTCTTCTAGTAACCACGTGTGGACCATGGGCACATTTCTTAACCTCTCTGAATTCCAATTTTCTCATCTCTCAAACATAAGAATTGTCCTGAATAATCTTTAAGGACCTTTCTAAAATCAATATAAAGCAGCATGGAATCAAATACTTTCCTGTGAAAGCAAAATAAATACATAGGACATTTCTACTAAAGAAAAGGAGAGAGGGGGAAAGGCCAATTAGAGCCCAGTCCTCAGAGATTCACTCTTCAAAACATTAAGGGATTTATTAATGTTCTCTCAACCTTTTTAGAAGTTTTTCACCTGTGTAACCAGGCTCTCTTCTTTAACATTTCCCTGCATTTTCTCATCTGGACAACTCGGACAGGAACAGCAAATAAAGGGAACACTGGAGTGAAATGCCTAGAACTCATAACATAAAGAGAATGGACAAAAGGCTATTAATTGTAGTGCTAAGCAGGGCATTTTGAATCAAGGGAGTAGAGTATATCTGTTCATTAGGACATCAGGATAGAGATACATACAGTGAGATTACATGGACAGTGAGCTTACAACATGCTGGATAGGGAATGATCTGTTACTGATTAAGGAATTCCTCACTTCTTTCATAGGCCTTCAAGGTCAGGGAGCATGGCCACCACAAGAAGACACCAGAAAAACCAGTTGGTGCCCAGCCAGAGAAAAAGTTAGAGGGTACACAGAAGGTACCAAAGAGAGATTCCATGGTGGCTACTGCTGGAAGAATACTAAGATAGTGAGTCCTTTGATGGCCTGCTTATTGAACCAGAGTGCATACTAGATGATGACTTCTCATCCTTCACCACTGATGGCATGCTCCTAAAAGGTCATTTGGATTTGCCAGGAATAGCTAACACAACACTGAGAAGTAGGTGTTTTTCAGCTCTTTAGCAGAATAATGAATTTTCCATGAGTTTTATTACTGTATTTTTAAAATTCTGATTTCATTCAATAAATGTATTCTATTCTATGAGACTAGAATATTTTCCTTTCCATCATAAAAAGTTAGCATTGAGATGAGAATAATTTGGGGAAACTGGAGGCATAAGCCAATTTTGATAAATTTATAAAATACCATATAAGGGATCTTTACATTTTAAACTCTAGATCAATCCAAGAGAATAAAGTTACCCAGATAAGCACTGGGTAGCTGGGGGTGCAGGGATCCAGGCAAGCACTCCTATTTTAGCACAGCATGAGAGGCTTAAGGCTATCAGCCTATCTCAGAACACCACACCTGGTACTGAGACTTCACTGAGTAGCTATCGCAGACCATGCCTCTGGAAGGAGCAGTCATCTCATTCACCAATCTTTCCTCTTTCAGGGAAAGATGTGGGTGTATCAGTATAGAGAAAAACTACCTGTATCCACATCAACTTCCTTTACATGCATAATAACAGTCTATGATTTTTTCCCATTCCTTGGGCATCTTCTTCTCCGTAAACTATAAAGACATGCCCTTAATGCTTTCAAGATAATGTAGTTAACTACAGTCTCAAATTTCATTCTCTATGTTAGACATTGATACATAAGTTGCTATTTACTTCATGGTGATCTTCTGTGCTTATAGTTTATCATGAGCACTTCAATGTAAGATAGCCAAGTATCTCATGAAATTGTATTTCTTAATGCCTTTGGGAAAATGATGAAACCAACTTGGTTAATTTGCGTATTTATATCCCTAAGGACACTCTATAAACCATCCTTCTATTTAATTACAACTTTTTATATTTCATTTATTATAAAAGTTATCAATACTATTCTAACTCCATTTTTGAAATATTATGTCTATTCACTGATCAATGGATGATCAAACACTTAAAGTATCTACTGTTAAGTTATTATGTAGAGATGGTCTAAAAATTGTGTGATTCTTAGTCCCATCTCACCATTAAACCCTTTTCTGCCACTTTGCCACTACTATCATAAAACTTGGGCTACAAGGGACCAAGTGCTATTTTTTATTGTATTTCATGCAATGCTATAGGATAAAGAATACATTACCTATTGGACACAATCTAATGGTGATTTGTCTCTGTGTTACTCTGGTCCTCAGAAAACATTATGGAGTCTATTGCAGGGCTGCTACCAGAAGCATTTCTAGCATAACAGAATCTTCCAGAGCCTACTCTCAGTAGCCATGGCCTTTGAGAATTCAGGTATCTCTATGCCAAGATGAGGTAGTAGAGTAAGGCTTTGTGGAAGATTTTTAAATAAATCCAAAAAAACAGTAAAATGTAATGTTTATCTTCATAAAAATATATGCAACTTGCTTTACAATAATAAAGACTTCACTAGCTTCTTCTTTACCATTATACTTAAGTCTTCGTCAACCATTAATATCAGAACCCTGAAACTGGAACGAAATTTAAAAATCCCTATCAAGTGCATTTCTCCTAGGCAGGGCTACAACTAAACTCAAAGCACTCTGTTTCCTTCAAATATTTTTCTTATCCTTCACAAACTCTTCATTAAAGTCAGTAAGACCCACTGAGAAGACAAAGGTAAAGGATATTATTTGGAAATGAAAGTAATATAAAATAACATATAAATAAAATGTTTTTAGAAAATGAAACATACCTTCCAACTCTTCTCCCCAAATAAAGTTAATAAGACTTCTTTCATCCAAATAGGGCATACCCACTCCTAGACAATCTTCTGCCACAATGTAAATTAGAAATTATGATATCACTTTCATCTGCAAAACTCTGAGTCTCAGTAAGGTGACAGATCTGCTTAGATCTTGTAATATGCTGATATTATTTACTGGATATTTTAATTATTGTGAAAACACTGAATTCAGAAATCTACTCTAAAGGAGTGAGGCCTGAGAAATTTATTCCATGGACTGACCTCAAGTTCAGGGTATGGAACAAAAGAAGAAGAAATATAAATAGAATTCTAGAATTCAGAACAGGAAGACACCTTAGAACGTATATGTTGCTTCTTGATTCTGTCAAAAGTAAAACATAATAAAGCAGCATTTTCTTTCATTAGAGAAAAATGAAAGAAAAAAATTATAGGATACTACTTACCATGACTATTACATCGTACAGAGGAAAGTAATTAGGGAGAAAACTTGACTGTGTTAGTCCTGAATCTCAACTCAATATCAGTAGATGGGGATAATGGATCAAGAAATTATAAAAGTAAATACCTGAAAATTTGTCCATGTCTTTAAAAGGCAAACTATAGACAAGTTGCTGATCATTCTGCTGTAATATGTTAGCTCCAGGTATATGCTGTTTAACCAGTGATGAAAGAGATTCTGTGATGCAATGCTTGTCTATGTACATGCTAAAGAAAACCCAGAAACCATAATGTTTATTACAGAGTAAACTAGGAAAACAGTTCATTTTAAACCACGATTGCTTTGAATTCACACAAACAACTGAGCTACATTGAGTGTGCCACATGGGAAGCAAATGTTTAAAATAATACCTCAGTCGGTAGCCAATCCCCCATTTGCTTTTGAGAAACAAAGAAGAACCAACACATTTCAGCATTCCTTGTGATATCACAGCTTTCCTATCTGTAAAGAAATTTACAGTTTAAGAAATCCTACTTTCATAACAGCTATATTTTGTTTGGTACTGGTTATTTTGTTTTCATAATTACATATTTAAAAACCACTTTTAAGTATTAAGACTTTAATAGAGAGAACATTGATGAAGAGATTAGTGACTTCCCAGATATAAATTAGTGGCAGAGATTACAGAATTCAATTTCCCCCTCCTAATCTATTAAAAAAACTATTTTGTGCTATTAAATCTGTATTGCAAAAAAAATTGCTTACTTGTGTAAAACACAGGCTTTTCACCTTTTTTGTCACAGACCCCTTTGGCAGTCTGCTGAAGCTTACGGACCCCTTCTCAGAATATTTTGTTGTCTATATTAAATATTAAATTTCAACTACAGGTTAGTGAAAGTAAAGATATAATTTTTACTATACAAATTCCTGGACATCTTGAAATCTGACCATTGACCCCTTGGTCCATATATATCAGGACCAATATTCATATTGGTCCACATATATTGCCCTAGAGCAAATGCTCTTAGGAAATATTTTTAATCTTTAAACTACCTTAGCTGTTCCTCAAAATGCAACATCTGATGCTTATTTCCTTAGCACCCACAGTCCACACCCACTTTTTCTTTAAGACAAATAAAATCCCACCAGCAAGAATATCAGCTTCATCCATAAAATGAGTACTAAGTACTATCACTCGATTGGTTTTTCTGTATTTCAAGAGATTCCAAACAATATGACGTGAGCAAGGATCCATTCCAGCAGTTGGTTCATCTAACAGTAATACCTTCATTAAAAGAAAATATAAAAAACTCATAGTTAAAGATATATAGAGCGATCTAGAAATCTAGCATCCAAAACTTGTGACTATATCCAAAGACTTCCTTTTATAAAATACAATTTCAAACCAGAAGTAGATTTTTTTATTTTATTAGTTTTTCTACCTGAAATTTTTAATTGCTAAACATTGTTAAGAATGCATTGTTAAGGAAAATGGTATTAATAGCAAGTATGTAGAATAGATGGGATGCTAAACAATTGCATAACAGAAAATTGATTATAGCTATCTCCAATCTGGCTAGAGACAATCATTTGGCATTCAAGTATAAGCATATCTTTAGCACTGAAATTTTTTAGAAACCAAATTCTGCACTCCTATTTCACAATAAAGTGTGTAAAGCAAGTGGAAATAAAAAGACAAATAAGGTGGAAAGGAGAACATAATACAAAATCTCTGATTAATGTAAAAATAGATGTAAAAAACTGTTTTACTACAGTACAACTCAAATCATGCCAAGACAATTATTCAATGAGCTTAACACAAAGATATCCAAAGCGTGCCTATTCAAGTCTAACTGCAATTCAATAACACATTTAATAAGTCTTTATTATGTATAAGGCCCTGTGCTAGACAATGGGGACATAAAAACAAAAACAGTCCCTACACTTGAGGAGCTTTAATTCTGGAGATAAAATATGCAAAAGGGTAAGTAAATTCTTGATGACTTAATGAGGGATCAGGCACTAACAACTAAGGGAATCAAGAAATGTATCATATAGAAAATGACACCCAAAGTGTGATTTGAAGGATGCAAACGATTCTGAGATGCATAGGTGAGAAGGAAATGTATTCTAGACACAGGGGACAGTTTGCCCAAGGCAGGAGATGGGTTATCAAGTTTGGTAAACATCAATAAGTCTTGGAACAGAGAGCACATTAAGTGGAATACTGTGAAGCAAATCTGGAAAGGATAGGATGGTCTGTTCTAGGGCTATTTCAAAGAGAAGGAGAAACGGAAGAATGGGAGCCTGTGATCAAGAAAGGAATTTCAAGAGTTCTGATACATGGATAAGGACTTGGGCTATCTGTGAAATAAAGGTATTGTTTCTGAGAATACCTTCTGGGTATGCCTTCATCCCTGGCATACTGAGTGAAGTTCTACTCTAGGTGTGGATTGTGATTTCAGTCTAGGAACTACCTTATCCTTCACTCATCACAGGCATCTCAGAACAATAAGAGATCTCTTGGATCTCCTACTTATGTGTGACAATTCCTTCTCAGTTTCCATTGACAAATAATCATATTTGTCCTACACACTAAGTGTGGGTACCCTCCCAAGCCTCTGTACTGAGCCCTCTGTTCTTTTCTTAATACTATCTCTCTCCTGGCGATTTCATCAGCTATCATCTCCGTGGGTTTAATTGTCATCTCTATACAGAAAAATTCTGATTCTATGTATCAGGACTTTAATTTCTCTTTTGAGTCCAGTCACTTTGAGTTCCAAACTCAATATATCCCAAAGTGAACTCGCTATCTTTCCCTCTCAAACTCTCCCCTTTCCCAAACTTCACTGCTTCTGTTAAAGGAAATACCATCCTTCCAGGTTCCCAATTTTACCACTAACCTTGACTCCTGAACTCTCCCTCATCTCACATATCCAATTAGTTTTTACATCTTGTCATTTCTACATCTAAATCTCTCAAATCCAACCCTTCTTTCCACTCACATAGCTAACACCTTAGTTCAAGCCCTTATTACCTCTCACTAAACTTTTTTTTAATAGCCTCCTAATGAGTCTCCATGTGTCAGGTCTTTTGCCATCCCATCTATCCTGCATACTTGCTATTAATATCATTTTCCTTAAGTACAGATCTATGTGTTTTCTCTACTCAATCAATGCCAGAGACTTCCTATTGCCTCCATGATCAAACTTTAACTCCTGTTTAGCATTTAAAGCCTTTCACAACCTGGCCACAAACTGTACTTTCAGCTTCACTTTCAATTATGTCCTTTCTGATACACTTTACCATCCAGTCAAAATGGCCTTCTTTTTCAAACTTATGACACTCTATCTCCAGTTTCATTACTTTTGCATAGTCATACCATGTGTGTCTAGGATACACATCCTCCCTACCTTTTTCTCAGAGTCCCTTCAAGATGCAGTTCAAGCACCATCTTCTGCTTGATACTTTTCCTGATTTCCTCCTATTACTAGTACCCTCCTTCCCAAACTACCTTATATTTAACTTTGTATTTATTAACTTTGTGTTGTATATACTTTTACATGTACTTGTCTCTCCCATTCAAATGTAAATTCCTTCTCTAAGAGTTCCTTACATTATTTCATTCTTTGTTAATTACACACTAAGAATTAACACAATGTCTGGCATATAGTAGGGAATTGGTAAATTCTTACTGATTAACTGATCTCCATATATGAATGTTCCAAAATATGTCAACTACTAAACATGTCCACAAGAGAATGCATATTTTGCTCCAAATTCATCTCGCTTCCAAACTACTCCATTTCTACTGAAGGTACCACCATCCCTCCATTCACACTGATTTGCCACCCTGGAGGCATCCTTGATTACTTCTTCTCTGTCATCACCCCTATCTAATCAGTTGTCACATCTTTTTTATTCTGTCTCTATAATATCTCCCACAGCTATCCCCCTTTTCTCTATTTACACAGCCTCTACCTTTAGTTCAGAACTTAATTACCTCTAGCCTGCCCTATGATAAAGGCCTTCTAATTAGTTTCCGTCTCTAGTCTTTCCTTAAATTTATCCTCTATATAGGTTCCAAAATGATATTACCAAAATGAAGATCATGGTATGTCCCTACCCCTAAATCTTTAATTTCAGTCTCTCTTTCTGTGTACCTACACATGTATGTATATATGTATTTCCCATACAAAAGCAATCTAGTATATGCCTGAAAGGTAGATCTGGAAAGGAAACTATAGACAGATGCTACGAACTTCAAAAGAGAAGAGGTTACTCAGTGATGGCTGCAGAAGGAAGGAAAATATATAGAAGGCCCAGTGTCGTTCCTCTCACATGTTGAGGAGAAGTAAAGGTGTACTCACTCAGTACTGAAGAGAATGACCTGAGAGCCAGTATCTTCTAAGGGAGACCCTAGATTTTGATTTCCACAGGTGCAAGAAGATAGAAGGACTATGAGGAAGAAGTCTAAGATGAAGGGAAGTATGTTTTAACATAACTGGGGGTTCTGGGAAATACAATGGAAGAGATGCTCCGCCAGAGGAGGATACACTATGTAGGGGTAAAGCTAAGGTGGATGGAGAGTACAGACTGGAAGCAAGACAAGGGAACAGCACATTCAGAATGACAGGAATTAGAGGGAGTGAAGGGGGTAAGCACCTACAGATTATCAATCACAGTAATTAAGAGTGTGGACGTAGGAGTTTATTAGCCATTGGATAGTGAAGTACTATTTACTGAGACTCCCAACCTCAATGGTTCTGTGATGACTATGATTAGTTTGTTTTCTCTCAAACATCAGGGAAGAAAGGAGCCTGAATCTCATATCTGACTGATGAGATCCTCAAGAGTCTAAATGAATTCATATTCAGTGGTATTTGCTTTGCTTCTTTGTTAGGACAGCAGCTTTCAGATGCAGCTCCCCTTACTCTGACACAGCTTTCTTCCCACACACATCTTCTTTCAATTCTAGCTTCCCTAGCAGCTTGCCTGGCAAAGCTTCCTCTCTTTGGGAGACCTGATTGCCACCAGCTTCTTTGATGCTGCTTCCTGGCCTAGGGCCAATAAAAAGCCCAAGCCATGTGGGCTCTCAGATATGGGGCATGCCTGAGACCATGCAAGTCACTATGCCCTGATGAATGATTGACCAGATACATTTCCAATTGAGACAAGGTGGGTCATGTCCAGAGAAGCTAAGTACCTCTATATCCTTTTGCATAACCTTGCTGTGTTAGGGCAAAGTAAATCTCCTTCTTTGTTAAATATTCAATGATTCATGAGTATCTAATTTCGTCCCAACATTGAACCTGAACTAAGTGATCTCTGGCTGCAGAGTTGTATCTACATTTGTGTACTCATCCAGTTAGGAGATGGCCTCATGGATGGCTAAGTTGAGGGAAGTACAGATGAAGAGGAAGGTATATGAGTACTGAAGGGACACTGCCTGGCTCCCTGTTGCCAGAGCTCTCCTCTGTATGATCATGTACGGGGAACCATCTCTGTGGGACCAGCAGTAGGCTCTCACTCAGGCAGATGGATTAGGTCTGTGAGTGCTACAAGATGTTGTCAGGGAGATGGGAGGGGCAATGAGGATGGGGCAAATAAAATGGCAAGGCCTTAGCTGTTATTGACTGTGCTCAATAAATTGGACTGCTTGTGTAGTCAGAATGAAAGTAAACCGGGAAAGTACATTTAGCTCTCAACTTTCAGGGACTGTGCAACAAAAGCTAAGCCAAAGCTAGTGAAGCTAGTGGTGAGGCAAGTGAAGAGAGATCTCTCCTGACATCAGTAGGGAATGAGGGGCCCCAGCCAGGAACCCACCCCTTTGGTCTCTGACTCAGAGGTTCAGGTTCCTACTGAGAAAGGAGCCATGAGACTGGAGAAGGGGAGCAGACTAGAGGCAGAGACTGGGGAATTCCCATCTGTTGTTAGAAATTTCCTGGCTTATCCTATCATTGCTCCCCGGAGAAAGACAGTTAACCTCCTGCCCTGAGGAACAAGCTGTGGGCAAGCCCTCTCTACCAGAGAAGTGGCAGGTGCCCAAGACGTTCAAACAGAAATCTGAAGAATTTCTGAAGGAATTCTAAGATGGTGGAAGACAATATATAATTAGAAGAGTCCTGCATGTGAAGTACATGCTTGGCTCCTCACTGAGCCTTATGTATTGAGACTCTACTCCTATACTAGGTCCTAAAGTAAGAAACCTAGTGTCTAAGGGTTCTGCTCATCAGGATCCAAGAAGTGAAAGGTCTAGCACCTGAGTGTTGTTTAATAGAAACACTAAGTATCTCAAGCACCTCTATATAACTTCTCTATTTTCTAATTTGCAGAATATGTTGTAGTTGTCTTATGGATACGGTTTAGATCCTTTGGAAGTTTACAATACTTACCTTGGGATCTCCAAGAACAGCAATACCCAGTGATAACTTTCGTTTCTGACCTCCACTTAATTTTTTTGCTTGGTTATCTTTGATCGCTTGCATATCCAAATCTAGTAAAACTTTCTGTACCTTCATATGAAAAAGGGAGAAATTATTAAAAAACAATATATTATTACACCATAAAAATGATGAAATGGACAGTTTCAGAGAGAACAAGAAAGACCACTTACTATCATTATTTAGTAAATGTATGGCAAGTAAAGGTATGATTTTTTATATGAGCAACATACCTCTTGTATTACACTATTGGCTGGAATCCCTTTGATAGAGGCCAAAATTGACAAATTCTCTTCGACTGTTAGCACATCAAAATTTATATCTAATTGTGGGCAAATTCCAATCATTTTTCTTGCTTCAAACATTTCATCAATTTCTGAGACTCTACATCCATAAATAGATGCAAGCCCTAAAAGCATAAGTGTAAAAATTATTTTAAATATAAAACCTTAGCTCTTAATATGATAAATTATATTCCTATTAGAGCTATCATGTGATTAATGATACAAATCTATTTTTGAAATGATATCCATTAGTTTCAATTTCTATCAGAAAATATTGGTGCATTTCCTTTCATTTGTGAATTGAATTCTTTCATTATTCTAAACTGAGGGGATAATAAAATAAAACAATTGACAATTAAAGCAACTTTTTACAAATGAAAATACCAGACAATAAAATGTGAATGTTTTACTTTTCAAAGTAAAATACTGTACTGTATTATGTAACTGACATTTATAAAGCACTTGAAGGTTTACAAAGCATTCTGTGTACTGTAAATCATCTCATTTGAGCCTCAAAACAATGCTAGTAAGACAAAGACTACAGACATTATTATTTCCATTTTATAGACTGAGGCTCAGAGAAGTTAAAGGACATGGCTTCAAAGCTAGTTAAGTGTCCGGGGTGGGTCTGAACCCAAGCCCTCTTGACTCTGAGTCCCCAACAAGTTTACAAGGAAAATTTAGAATTGCCATTTTACAGGCAACGTTTTTTCCTGCTTCTAAGGAAAAATAAAATACTCTTCACATGTGAAATCTTAGCTCTTTTGACCTATCCTCTCTATTAACATCATACACCTTAGAGGCTTACAAATATTTCCTTAAATGTGCAATTTTCTGTGGGTTTAATTTAATCTTAATCTAAAATTGATGATCAATCTTGAAAAAAAAATCTGAATTAAAAATATATAAATCATACATAATTAGCATCTAACAAATAAACAATTTAATCAACATTATATTGATGTTTCATAAAGTTTAAGGAGATCCTTAGTTTTCATTTTTAAGCACTCTGATTAGTATTATCCAAACTACTCTGAATTGATACTCAATTTATAAAATTATGAAATGGGGCAGGCTTGTTCAGTTCTCTGGGTATGTACCAAGAACGGCCACAATAGCAATGGGAAATGAGGCTGCAATTACATTTTAATGAGGCAAAGAGAGTGTGAGGGCCAATGGCACAAAAAGTACAGAGACAAGCAGCAAAAAATAGATAATGTGGGGATGAGGGATAGGGTGGTGAAGGAAGGCAGGCAGTGTGGGGAGTGGGGGAAACACAGATGATCATTCACATGGCCATGGATTAGAGTTAGGAGCACTCAGCAGCATGAACCTAGATGGAGATGGAAGAGAACTTGGATGGGGGTTGAGGCAGAAGAGTTTGAGGTCTCATTTTAATAGGGTTTTTTTTGTGGAATAGACTAACCCTTATTTGTGCCACCTTAGTTCATTAACATATCCAAATCATCTCAAAGTTGTTGGTAAAGCTTTAGAGTTAACATATTCATATCAACTCAAAGTTATCAGAATCATTTGGTGTTCTGTGGGTCTTCTGGAATATATCTTAGATTTACATAAAACAGTACCAAAAATCCCTAACAGCAAAACCTAGATGGCTTCCTCTGATTCACCACATATTACCAGTCTGTGATATGATACAACTTTTAAATTAAGCTCCTTTGATCTTTGGGACAGTTTTTATGTAATTTCAAGGTTCCCCTTTGAAATCTTATTTCCTGCCATTGCTACTTTATACCAGCTACTTATAAACTTACTATACTGATTAGAAGGATGGGGGTGGGAGGAGGATGGGGAGGAGTTTGGGAAGACCAAAACAAAATCAATTTTAACACACACTCAATGTGCTCAAAAGAGGAAAATGTCACAACAAATCATTAACAATTTGGATAGTTTCTACAAGTTCAAATCAAATAAGAGTAGACTATACCAGTGGTCTTCCAATCTAGGGCTTATTTCTCAAACACAACCACACCTACCCTTCACTCATTATAGCCCAAGTCACCCATTCTACCCAGTCCTTTTACTACGCCACCTTCCAACTTTCCCCCTTCAGAGGCAAGTTATTAACTTTCAACAGGAGATTCTTAGCAGTATCTGCACAAGTGTCATTGAAAAATACTTCTGCCTCTTTCCTCACCTCTACCATTACTCTGTTAGGAAACAAAAAATTAATGATAGCAGTGCACTATGAAAAGAGTGTGAAGACCACTAGTATAAACTATGATACCTTCACAGAATAAAAGAACATCAAGTGAGAGAATCCTTTAAATTGTTCAAAAGACAAAAGACATAAACTCTTACCATCTGAAGGTGGGCAGAGTCCACAAAGAATGTTCATTAATGTGCTTTTTCCTGTTCCACTATGGCCAAGTAATGCTGTAATCTGACCCTCATATATGTCAAAAGATAAATCTAATTAAAGAAAGAAGTAAAGGAGAAAGCCATGAATGTAATGAAAGTACAGATGAAAAAATTAATAGTGATTAATGGATTACTACAATGGAGCAACTTTTCATTATTACGGCAAAGTAAAAAATAAATTTAAAATCTGTCACCATATTCTGCAGCAAAAATAAAATGACATTATTCTAAATGGGTGAGAACTACTATGAGAACTGAAGAATAAAAGAAACCTTAGCTTTATTTGCTATACTTTGAAATATATTGTAATGGCATGAAAACTATTAGGGGTATAGCATTTCTTCTGGATATGAGTTGGTATATCAAACTACTGAAGTATGTTATACTGCTGGAGAAAAGGGAAATGGAATTATAAGAAAAACAGACCACCAATAAAAAAGTTAGGAGAATCTGAACTTCCTTCATTTAACCCTAAATTAAACCCAGAATCATAGTACAATATGATATTTTATGGAAATTTTCCGTATGCTGAGGCCCAAAGAATATCAGGGACAGAAGGTCTAAAGCCTAAAAGCACTTACTCAAATTCAAAAATGGAAAATGAATATTGAGATTATTAAAAACACATGATTTGACACAACAATCAGTGAAACTGTGAATTAGTCTAACCACTCGGTATGTCATTTTGGAATTATCATTCTCTTCAATCCAGTGATCCCACTACTGGGCACATAACCTAGAGCGGTCAATAAAAGAAATAAAGGTGCAATATAGACTTACGTATTTATTATCCAATATATTTAGAGGAGTACTTTTTATGCCAACAAAGAACTTGAAACAAAGTGGGTACACATTGATTAGTGACAGGCGTATAAGTGGTGTATGAGTACAATAATATTATCGTGCAACAAGAAATCACAATTAGGAGGAACTCAAAAAAACTTGAGACAAGTGGAACAGTGGATAGAGCACTGGACCTTCACTTAGGAAGACCTAAGTTGAAATCCAGTTTGTCACATATTAACTGTAAATCACTGGGCAAATCACTTAATCTCTATCTGCCTCAGTTTCATCACATGTAAAATGGGGACAGTACTTACCTCCCAGAGTTGTGAGGTTCAAATGAGATAATATTTGGAAAACTCTTTGAAAACCTTAAAATGCTATATAAGTGCTATCATAATGATGATAATGATTTGATAGAGAAAGCAATAAGCAGAACCAGAAGAATAATATACACAATCACTACAATACCATAAATTAAAAGAACACTAAAAGAAAGTCAATAATAAGCTTAACATAAAAGCCAATAATGGTTTTAGTGAGCAGATAATGAAATATATCTTACTCCCCTCAGAAGAGGCAGGAGACTATAAGGGCAGCATATGATAGATACCATCTGACAGAGTCACTGGGTATTGTTACAATGGAGGACTTAATGTGGGGAATGGGGAGAAGGGAAGGAAGATTACTTTCAGAAGTGATCATGATATAAAAACTAAAAGCATCAATAAAAGTTTATTTTAAAAATATTCACAATACGGATGTACTACTTTTAAAAAAACTATTTGTTCTTAAATTTAAAGTAAATTAAACTAAAAAATTACATACTTCTTAGTGCCTCCACAGTTTCATTTTTCTTTATGAATGTTTTCTGGATACCACTGATTCTGGAAGACATATTTTAGTGAAAAGAGAACAGAAATTAAGAAAACACAATAACATACTACCATTTTGCAGCAAGCATTGATGAATACACAATAAATTCATTTAATAAAAGACCAAAATTTGAGTTATTTTTAAAAACTATACAGGAAAGACATTTTCTTCTCTTCCATTCTCAAGGCCTGAAGATGGTCTCTCTGAAACTCTAAAAGCAGCATACTTCTCACCAACAGTGCATTGTTATTTTAAAAAATATATAAGCAACTAGTCATTTTGCTCCAGTTTCAGCCCTCTCAAGTAAAATTCAAAGATTTAACATTCAATTCAAACTGCTAATATCAGTTTTTAAAACCCCACAGGGTTGGAGTCAGACTATTTCCCAAAACTTTTTTTTCAGCAAGAATACTTCCATGTTTATGATTCCAAAAATTATGCATCAGTGACCAAAAGACAATAGTGCAGGTCAAGACCCTGAACTATTGTATGTTCAGTTTTTTGGGAGGGATTTAATTTAATGTTTAATTTCAATAACCTAAGGTTCAGAGGGCCATAGAGAACTTAGCTGTTCAATTAATTCAAGTCTTCAGACTCACATGAATTACCAAAAGAACCGAAATGTCACTGCTAAAGAACTGCTAATGATCTTTTTTAAAAAAATCATAATGACCTGAATCAGGCATAGCTATGCAAATTGTGCTACATGAATATAATAGACTGTAACTGTGCCATTGGAAATGATGACTGAAGAATTTAGGAGAATGGGAAGACAGATGAAGTGAGATAGAGAACCAGGAAACAGAACTAAGAAAACAATATACATAATGACTACAACAATATAAACAGAAAAAAAATTAAAAAAGAAAAAAAAATCAATAATGCATAACTATAATGACCAAGCTTGGCTCTAAAGATGAGTTGAGAAAATACAATTCTATCCAATCCCATTCTTTGCAGGAGATGGAAGATAGGCGATGTTGTTTATGCTATCAGATTAAGTTTACCTGAACTCTTTTTCCCCATATTTTTTATTATGTTACCATCGATGACATGCTAATCACGGGTGGGGAACCTGTGGCCTCAAGGCCACATGTGGCCCTCTAAGTCCTCAAGTGTGGCCCTTTGACTGAATCCAAACTTCACAGAACAAATCCCCTTAATAAAAGGATTTGTTCTGTAAAATTCAGACTCAGTCAAAAGGCTACAAGCAAAGAGAATTAAGTGACTTGCCCAGGGTCACACTGCTAGTGTCTGAGGCCAGATCTGAACTCAGAAAGATAGTCTTCCTGACTTCAGACCTCACATTCTATCCAGTGTACCACATAGCTTTCCCAGGGTTATTTATAGACAGCTCCTACTCACGTACAGGTTTGTCTAGTGACCTCTTAAGGTCCCTTCCAACTTTGAATTTTTATCTTACTCTGTTCCCAACCTAAATGGCTATTATTCATTAGTCCTAGGGTGTATCTATTATTAAAGTCCTACCAATGAAGTAGGAGCATGTGGAGGCAGAAAACACACCATGAAAAAGTATTTGTTTTCAACAAGAAGGAGACCTACTCTGAAAATGGTCTCCATATAGCCAAGCTCTCCAGGTTGGAGGTGAAACAAATTGAGAGGCTAAAGCTGGGAAGTATCTCCAGGACAGACCAAAAGGTAAATACACCAATTTTAGAATAAAAACAGAGGCAAATGTGTAAGTTGGCCACTACCAACCAGAACAGAAAAGACAGGTCAAGGTTAAGAGATGAAGATGAAGATATTAGAGGTAGTCAGGACAGACAATACATTCGTGGTATTACAGAGATATTCTTTTACAATACAATCTTAACGTGAGACTTTGAACTTTCCATGGTCTTTAAAACCGCAGAGTTCACTTAAATTTCAGGCATGGAATAAGACCTTCTCTCCACTTCCACCCCCGGGGCCTTTCTTTTTTGGTTGACAAGTCAAGGGCAAGTAAAATTTAAGAGTGCAGTTGATTTGGTTTAAAAAATAGGTTCACTAATATTTTAATTACATTAATATGTTCTAAAGGCCCATGATAAAATGTAGGGCAATTTTAGATGCTATGCAGAGAAAAATAGGAATGAATGAAATCATAAAAAAGTAATGTTTATTCTATTTGTTCTTTTCAGTTTTACAAAATGAGATTTATCCTTATCTTCTGTTTAACTCTACCTACACAGCTTCAAAAAGCTTTACTGAGTGAACCTGCAGGACATTTCTTACTCTAAAATATCTGATTAGTTTTCTGTTATGTAAACCAAAGAAAAATGGATCCCTAAAGAAAACTGACAAGCAAAAGTATTCTAATTTTTTTTGTTTAAGATGAATAGTCCAAATTTCAAATAAAGATTTGAAAAATATTCAAGCTAATAAATCAAAATGCTTTTTTTAAACTGTGAGGTTTTTACATATCAATAATTGCTTGTTAACTTGGCTAAAAGAAATGAAGCCAATAAAACTACATAGTGTCAAGGCTGTGGCAAAACAAGTACACTCACACATGTGATAAAAATGCAAATTATTTCAATCCTTTTGGATCTGACAGCATATACAAATGCAAGCAATTACAAAAATGATCTATCCTTCAATACAGAAATCTGTTTTAGCTTTACTTTTGCTATTGATATTTAACTTTACTACTAACATAAATGTCTGTCCTTAAATATATAATAAGACTTGAATTATTCTACCTTTTTAATGTTCTGGTTCTGCAATAGCAAGATAAATAGTATCTTCACAAAATCACTGAATGTTAGAAGCAAAAGGGAGGCCATTTAGAATAGCCTATACATGAACAAGAATTCCCTCCTCAACAAATACTATTAGCCAACTAGTCTTTGCTCAAAGGCTTCCAGTGAGGCAGAACCCAATATCCCCTGAAGTTGTCCATCCAACTTTGGGTAGCTCTAATTGTTAGCAAATTTTTCCTTATGTCAAGCCTAAATTTAACTCTTTTCCACCAAATTTTCCTGGCTTTACATCATCACCTGGCAAGAATTCCTCAGTCTTAGTATTTAGACCTCATCAGTACTCTCTGCATGGGGGGCAGAGAAACTCCTCTCAAAGCCTTTGGTAAAGGAGGCAGCTCAGGCCAGCCATTTCTTCCTTTTTCATCTAGCTGCAGGATGCACTCTTTTAGACTTCATCATCATGCAAGGTATCTTATTAGATACAGTCATTCCAGTCCCACAGCAGCTTTTTTTCTTCTGTAAGTATTGCAGTATCTCCCCCATTTTCCAAAAATGTTTCAGAGATCACTGACAATGGCCCTACAGTCACAACTTCGATCAATTAACAAGCACTTGCCAAGCACCTGTTATTTGCCAGACACTGTGCTAGCCACTGGGGTTACAAAAATAAAGAATGAAACCAGACTTACTCTCAAAGAACTTATACTCTAATGTGTGTGTATATATATATATATATATATATATACACACACACACATATGTATACATATATATATGTGTAAACTGAATAAATACAAAACAAATTCAAAATAGTTAGAGAAGGAGGTACTAGTAACAGTTGGCAAGATAATATAAGCCTTCATAATAAAAAGTGGTGTTTTAAGGTGCATTTTTAAGGAAGAGAGGGATGCTATGCAGCAGAGGTGAGGATGGCATATATTCCAGACATGTGAGATGGCCAGTACAAATATAGGAAGATAGTAGATAGAGTGTCATATGAGAGAAATAGAGAGAGGACTACGATGAATGAACCACTGAGGCTGGCAAGAGATGGGAGAGAGATTAGTCCTCCACACAGCTGCCAAAGGGATTTTAGTTAAGATCTGACTGATTTTGGTTAAGATCTAACTACTCTATTCATTCCAGTATCTTCCTATTGTCTATTTGGTTGGTGTTTTTAAAGCCCATCGCAATTGCAGCAGAGAAAAACCTGAGGCAGGTAGAACAATTAGGAAAACAATGTAATATTCCAGGCAAGGTACAATGAGGGTCTGACCTACAGTGGTAGCTGTGTGAATAAAGAGAAGGGGTTAGATATTAAAGATGTTGTGCTGGTAGAAATGAAGAGATTTGACAACAGCGTGAATACACAATGTGAGGATGAATAAGAAGATAAGGATAAACATAAATTTATGAATTTGAAAGACTGGAAGACTGCTGAAGCCTTCCACAGAAATAGGGAAGTTTGGATGAGGGTAGAGTTGAGGAAAAAAACAATGTGTTCTGTTTTGGACATGCAGAGTCTAAGATGTCTCAGAAATATTCAGTTTAAAATATCTAATAGGAAGTTGGTGATGTGAAACTTAAGTCCAGAGGAGACACTAGGCTTAGTGATTTCAACTTATTGAGGGCAGTTGAGTGCTGCCCAACTACCTCTTTATGCATCTTGGGCTTCAGCTCCATACCAGCTAGTTTTTTTAGTCAATTGGGGTTAAATGACTTGCCCGGGGTCACACAGTTAGTAAGTGTTAAGTGTTTGGTCTGAGGTCATATTTGAACTCAGGTCCTCCTGACTTCAGGGCTGGTGCTCTATCCACTGCGCCACCAAGCTGTCCCTCCCTACCAGCTAGTTTTGTCCTGTCCTTTACAACCCCAAAATGAATCTCTTTGGCAGAAAAACAAGTAAAATAAGACTGAATCAGCTCTGCCTTCTGTCTGTCATCAGTTAACATTATCCCATCTATCCAGAACAGTAATTTTATCCCATCTTCAATCTTTCTCTTATCTATCCCCAATGTAAATTTTAAAATATATCTTTTGTCTTTCCTAATTTTCCTCATCAATATCAACTCATTCTCTCTTGCAGCACTTCTGATTTCTGCCTAAATTAAAAATGAGTATTAATCATTCATACCTGATAGCTTCTTTTCCTAGAAATTCTGAAGAAACAGGTTCAATAATCTCACTAAAACCAGGATTTCCATTAACATTGCCCTCAGACAGCTCTTTATAATTTCTTTTGCTCTTTGACCAATATGAGGGCTTCATAAAATATAAAGATGGTCTTCGTAGTCCAAATTCACCTGAAAAGAAAAAGATCTGATTTTTCTAAAATATATTACAACTACCATTAGCTAGTGTCTGAATCACAGATAATGGCAACCACGTGAAACTTATGACAACTTAGAACCTAAAACCATAAAACGAATTCTAAAACTCAAAGCAGAGATAAAATATTTCTTCAGTGGAATTCCAAGAATCTCTCTTCTTAATCTAACTTACATGTAATATGCGCACTTGTTTTAATTGCTAGAAAAGTTCATTTAAAACTTTATATTTAAAAGCCTAAACTAGTCTATCTTTGACATAATCTCTTATTTGTAGTGACTAATGTATAAAAATTAAAATTTACATCAGATTATTAGAATGATTACTCTAAATTCAATTTTAAAAGGGGGCTCTTGTCTAAAAAAAAGTTTTTACTTTAAAAATATACACACATGCACATACACATATATTTTATATATACATATACATACATATAGATACACACACACACATATATATATTCTAAAGATGAACTTATTATCTATAACCTACATACCTGGAATGATTTGATCAAGATAAACAGCTAAGAGGATGTAAAATACACTATTGAGTGCCAGCATTATAATGGCAATGATAAGAGGATATGGACCTTTGATCAAGTTGGAAAACAAAGCACCTTCATCTAAATCTTCCAGATACATGACCTGAAAAAAATTAAATTGAATTTTAATATTATTATGTTAAAATAAATGCATAGCATCAGATTACAAAACAAATGTTAACTATCACTGTTAATTAAACTTACTAAGATTGTTCTTCATTGTCAAAGTTGGAAGTAAATCAAATGGAACAATGAAGTTACAAAGAAAACAATAAAGATAGGAATAATTAGGGTCCTTCTTTTTTTTTTTTTTTTTTTTTTTTTTTTTTTTGGTGAGGCAATTGGGGTTAAGTGACCTGCCCAGAGTCTCATAACTGGTCAGTGTTATGTGTCTGAGGCCAAATTTGAACTCAGGTCCTCCTGACTCTGGAACTAGGGTCGTTCTATAAAAATGGACTGCAACTATCACAACCTTTACTCCTGATCTGAAAATAAGAATATCCTCTTCAATGTGGCCGTTATGGCTAATATCAGATAGTAAACTTAGATATCTGACATATAACAAGTGGATACGAAAGATCATAGAACTAGAGTGAAAATTTTTGCAAGTGAGAAAACTGAGGCTCAGAGAGATTAAGTGATTTGTCCAACATCACACAGGTAATAACTGGCAGAACCAGGATTTGAACCCAAGTCCTCCAAACTCGAGTGAGTAATTTTTCCATTCCACCATTTTTATCATTAGAGTCTAGCACAGAGCAGGTGAATAAGTATTTGCTGACTGATATCTTTTGTTAACTTTTATATATCCAGACTAAATGAATAACATTTACCAGAAATATAATTAATATTCCTTGTCACCACATCAAAATTAAACATGAATTAGTGACAATATTGACATTTTTAACATCCATATTTATAGTACCTGAGTTCAATAACAACAATAATAACAGCATTTATATAATGCTTTAAGATTTAGAAAGTGCTATACAAACATTATCTCATTTTATCATCACAAAAACCCTGGGAGGTAAAGTGCTATTATCCTTATTTTACAGATAAGGATGATGAGGAAGAATGAGGTTAAATGGCTGGCCCAGGGTCACACAGCTGAAAAGTGTTAGAGGCCAGATAGATTTGAACTCACATCTTTTAGACTCCAAGACCTGCACTCTCTGCCCTGATTGCCTACCTGCCTTATTTAGCTGGACTAAATACATTAAATGTCCTATATACCACAAGTACATAGAGTTAAATGAAATTGTTGCAACATAGGTACACAGAGAGACATTAAAACAAGCTCAATAGCAAGAATCGTAAAATGTCTGAATTGAAAGGTCATCTACTTCAACTCAAATAGAAATTAAGAAAAAGTGCTTCTTTGTTTCCTAACATTTATTTTACAGCACTTAGCAAGATGCCTGGCACATAGTAGGTATAGTAGGTATTTAATGTTTACTGACTGACTACTGACCAATTACTCTGCTTTTTCAATTGTAACTTATAACTATACTTCACTATCAAGTGTCTTTACCTACTTATTAGAGAATACATAACCCTGCCACTCTGACAACATGTAACATTCACTACAAAGTACTTACACTGTTGTTTGCCTTCATTTTCCAAGAGGACTCAAGGACATCACAGTTGATATAGTGATTTGGAGTGAACTGGATTTAAGTGAGGCAGAGTTGCACAAAAGTCACCAGCCTCATTCTCTCTTTCAGAGTCATCTAAGTCTAGTTGCAACAGTCCAGGATACAGTGGACAACGACGACCTAGGTGACTTTGATGCCTGACCAAATTCTAAGTGCTACACAGAGCCTGCTGTAGCCACCTTCACAGCTGTTGGAACAAGTTGTTCAGGGAAAGTTTTCTTATGCTTGGGATACACATCTGCTTAACTCACTTAGGGGTTTGAGGCCTGTCAGTTACCCTCAACCTGGTTTAGTCCACCTGCTATGTGTGGCAACTGTGCATAGTACAGCTTCTTGGAACCACAGGTGAGAGCTGGCTGACAGATGGACACTAAAGTGGATGAGCAACCCTGAAAAGGGCTCAGCAAGTCCTCACACCAGAGGCGCTAGTCCTCCCTCAACAACCCATACACACTTAAATGAATTTGTATTGAACTGATATATGATCAGCTTACTCCTTCATCCTACCTCAGTCACAAAGAGGATCATAACCTTGATCTTGCCATTACCCATAAATGAACCATCTCCACGTTCATTAACTTTGAAATTCCCTTATCAGACCACTGTCTGTTTCCACCTCTGCCTTTACCTTCCAATGCCAAACCCTGTTCTTCATCCACACTGTGACCTCTAATCCCCTCACCTCTCAGTTCTCTCCCAGGCCATCATATCCTTGTAATGTCACCCTTTCCTCCTTTCCCCAATTTGAACTCTTGGTGAACCAGTTCACCTTTACACTGCCTATTCTCTTGAGGTCCCTGCCCTCTTTTCATATCACCAATTTTGCCTTGCCAACTCTCAATCCTGGATCACTCCTAGCATCCTCTGCCTTTGCTCCTACAAATGCTGATGAATAAAGCTGGAGAAAATCATAAAAACATGCCAACTAGGTATACTACAAATCTGTTATATAAAACCTCAACTGGGCCCTCATTGTTATTAAGCAATTCTTTTATACCTCCCTAATTAACTCATTATGGGGCAGCTAAGTGGTGTAGTGGAGAAACCACAGGGCCTGGAGTCAAGAAGATCTTCGTTCAAATCCAGCCTCAAATACTTACTAGCTGTGTGACCCCAAGCAAGTCTTCTTGCTGTTATTCAGTCATTTCAGTCATGTCTGACTCTTCATGACCCTGTTTTAGGTTTTCTTGACAAAGATACCAGAAGAGTTTGCCATTTCCTTCTCCAGGTCATTTTACAGATGAAGAACCAAGGCAAATGAGGTTAAGTGACTTGCCCAGGGTCACATAGCTAATAAGTGTCTGAGACCAGATTTTAATACATGAAGATGAGTCTTCCTGATTCTAAGCCCAGTGCTACCCTGGGCAAGTCACTTAAGCCCTAGGTGCCTCAGTTCCTCATCTGTAAAATGGGAACACAATGGAGAAGGAAACGGCAAACTACTCTAATATCTTTGCCAAGAAAACCCCATGGACAAAATCCATGGTGTCGTGTAGAGTCAGACACAACTAAACAACAATTAACTCATTACTACAACTTACCACAGTGGCTCTTCCAAACTTTTTCATTCCTCCTCAAACTTCCCATAGTTCACCCTCCACCCACCTTCTCAAATGAGAACACTACCTCATATTTTATGGGGGAGCGTGGGGTGGAGGCCATTTGCCAAAATCTTTCTTTTCACCTCTCCTCCTTATCTCACATCACCTAGATGGCTTCTATCACTATCTATTCTTTCACCTCTGTTTCACATGAAGTAGACATTCTCATTGCCAAGCCACACTGAATGCACAAGCGATTCTACTCCATCCTGTCTCCTCCAGCAGAATGCTCACTCTGTCATCACCACTGTTCACTTCTCTCTCCCTCGTGAATGGCTGTTTCCCTACTGCCTATAAACAGGTCCACATCACCTAATCATCAAAAACTCCTCACCTGATCCACTCATTCCCCACTATCATCCTATATCTTGCTTATATAGGATATATTCTATATCCTACTAGTCTCTTTGATAAGGCCATCTACAACAGATGCCTCCACTTCTCCTTATTCTCTTCTTAATTCTCTACAATGTGGCTGAACCAAAGCTTCTCTTTCCAAAGTTACCAAATACAATGTTTTGGTTTTTTTTCTCAATCCGCATCCTTTTTGACCTCTCTGCAACCTTTAACATTATCATTCTCTTCTCCCTAAGGCTAACTTTTCTCTATGTTTTTGTGACACTCCTCCTTCCTGGCTTCCCTCTTACATATCTGACCATCTCCTTGGCTGGACCTTCATTCAGATCACTCCTACTAATGGCAAGTGTCCCACGGGGCTCTGTCCTGGGTCCTGTTTTCTTCTCCCTCTACACTATTTCACATGGTAATCTTATCAGCTCCCCTGGATTCAATTATCTCTATGCTAATGATTCTCAAAACTATTAATCCAGCTATAACCCCTCTGCTGACCTCCAGCCTTGCATCTTCAAACACCTATTAGATATCACAACCTAGATGCCTGGTAGACATCTTAAACTCAATAAGCCTAAAACTGAATCATCTTTTCTCCCAAACCTTTCCAAACTTGCCTTTTACTGTCAAGAGCACCACCATCCTACCAGTCCCCCAAGCTCACAACATAGATGTCATCCCCATTTTCTCACTACCTTTCACTCCCCATATCTAAAACATTGCCAAAGCTTATTGATTTCACCTTTGCAATATCTCTTGAATACATCCCCTTCTCTCCTCAGATAGTGCCACCACCATGGTTCAAGCCCTCATCTCTTCACGCCTGAACTACTGAAACCGCCTGCTGGTTGGTCTGCCTGTCACAAGTCTCTCCTTACTCCAAAACATCCTCCATTAAACCGCAAAAATGATTTTCACAAAGCACAGGTCCACTCATGTCACCACCCCCACCCCCATTCAATAAACTCCAGGGATTCCCTATCACCTCCAGAATCAAATTTAAAATCTGCTGTCAAGCAAAGCCCATCATAAACTAAGCCCCGCAACTTTCCATTATTCTTACGACTTACACTGCCTTCTCCCCTTTTTTGTGAACCACTGACACTGGCCTCCTCCATGTTCCTCAAACAAGATATTCCACCTCTAGGCATTTTCACTTCTAACAACTATTAGATATCACAACCTAGATGCCTGGTAGACATCTTAAACTCAATATGTCTAAAACTGAATCATCTTTTCTCCCAAACCTTTCCAAACTTGACTTTTACTGTCAAGAGCACCACCATCCTACCAGTCCCCCAAGCATTCCATGCCCAGAATGTTCTCCCTCCTCTTCTCTACCTCCTGCCTTCCTTCAAGTCTCAGCTAAAATCTCAACTTCTACAAAAAGCCTTTACCAATTCCTCTTAATTCAAGAGCATTCCTTCTCTTCATTATTTCCTACTTATCTTGCATATATCTTTTTTGTATACAGTTGTTTGCATTTTGACTCC